CTTGTTCCACTCTTTCCCGTGATTTTAATCTGAGAATGTTTTCGATCGACAACCCATTAAATCGTTGACTAGTTTGCTTATTCTCCTAAATAATCAAAATGACCAGGCACCGATAATTCAAGGAAAACTAGGACATCGACCGGTCGAACTTAACAATTTGAAAACGTGGCCTGCGGTCTCGTTGAACTGACCGACACAGAGAGAAGCTCTTTCCACTGTCATCACACGCGGTAACTAACGATTGATTTTTGTTGAGTAAGCTAAAGCATCTAAGAGTCTTAAAATATTTGTTAGACATAAATCCTTTCACAAACAACTACATCAATTAACTCAACAACACTTAGGACGTTGGTGAAGGAATTTTGAAAAAACAAACTAGATTTTCCGTTCCTGAATTTTGCATATAATAAAAATTTCGGTAGATATGAACCTCCCTAGGGGAAAGAACCGAAGAAAGCTTCCTCTACACAGGTCAAATACGAAGAGCTTAAAAAAATATGAGAGTTTAAATAGAACCATCAAAAGGGAATTCTAGTATCCGGCATGAGATCATAAAACCCACTGAAACCGAAAGCCGTTGGAGGGCGAATATGCTGAGAAAGCTGAAATGTAAATAAATTCGATTATCACAACAAGCCAATTTGAGTTTCCGAGCATTTTACCACAGCACTCGGCATTCACAATAACCTTAGCAAGCCGCAAAAAAGGAGTGTCATAAACATTCTTTACAAAGAAAATATTCCTTGCTCCATACTAAACAAATTTCAATGCAGAGATTACTTTTGAGACGCCCACACACCGTCTCATGATCAAAAATCGTCGCTGTTTTGTTCATGTTTATTCAAGATTCTATTAAAAAAAATTGATACTTAGGTTAAATTATCATCAATGGTGCTGCGTTGTTGGAGGAGGGTATTGCGAAATAATTTCGTTTTTATAAACTGACTTGATAATGTAAGCTGATCACGGTAAACCCCTTAGTCAGCAATTCGCTCTGACGAAGGGCTGACGCTCGAAACGTAAGCTTTAGAAACTCTTAACGTTGGTCAATTTACATTATCAACTCATTTGATGAAATTAGATTATCCTGTCTGACATAATATCATTTACCTTGGCTGAATAGACCTAATTGAGAGGCATTAAAAAGTTTTTAGGAAATTACTTTTAAATTTTATTGTATGAACTATCATAACCAACACAAATAATATTGTTTGTAGTATTTATTTAAGGTGAAAACAACCTTTCAAACATATTTCCACAGTATACCAAAATGACACTTTCCTTTCTCATCAGCTTCATGAGATAATTAACTCGTTTGGGATTTTTGCCTTGATGGTGAGTGAACAGCGACAAGAATCCAATTTACTTCTTATCATTTAATCAACGAATTTAAAACGTGTTTCCAAGACGTATGCGAAAAAAAAAACTATGACGTGAACTCCATTTCCTACTCCCTGGATTAACTGACATGTTTGAAGCGTGTTTCCGCATCGTGGGCAAAACAAATCATGAATTATTTTACTCTGACGTAAGTTATATTTAGAAAATCAGCTGAAACCATAACTCGGGTTAGTCTCAAATGCTACAGCTGGCTGCGCAGAGAGACAGTTTGTTTGTGTTGTTCACTTCTATAAGAAAAAAAAGGGGAACCAGCGCGTGAAATATAAAGCTAAGTCTCAAGTCAAGGTGTGCACGCGGGAGCCCATTTTGAAACAAGATTAGCCAGCCAGCGCCCTCTGAAAGCTGCCCTGGTTATCAAGCGAGGCTTTTTAAAAAGAAAATTCCATATGCCGCCTAAGGGAGCAACTGTCCGTCTAGAAGAGGAACCTAAATGTTGTTAAGTCAATGTTATGCTTTTGTCACAGATGTTCATGACAAGAGAATTGACGAGGCTCGGAAAAGGCTGGGAACATCCTCAACTTTACAACTGACTGAGTTGAGCCCGCAATCTTCAGGAATGTTTCTTAGCAACCAAATGTATCCCGATCATCAAAAGGTCTCAAAAGGGAGAGTCACAGGCCTTGCAAAAGCTCGAGTATAAAATTAAGACTGCATTAACCAAATGTTACTGATTGTAGTGCTACACCAAGTTCCGCAACGTTCAAAAGAAAACATCAGTCTACTTTAGCTTAAACGGAACGCTTCGATAGTAATGCCCAACTGAAAAAACCTAATTGTACAATCTACCTCAAAACGGAAACTTATAAAAGCTCGCAATCGTAGGGTAAAGAAGACGAGAAAAATAGATTTTAAAACAACTCGATAGTGATAAGTTTGAACTTCCGCATAACATCCCAACTTGACAAGTTATTTTGACGTTTAAAGTTTGGTTTGTAAACAAACACTGTTTGGAATGGTAGGCACAAGTGAACTATAGAAAGTTTTCAGAGTTTTATTGGGGGGAGCAGATTGTGTTGACGCGATAGGAGCAGTTAGTTCCGCTAAATTTTGAAATATCTGAGAAATTCAGGGTTTAGCGGTTCGCAGCGAAGTCGAAAACTCGCTATTACCTTCAATACCTCGCAAATGAAACTCTGTTATCGCCAAAACAACGAGTTTAAAACTGATTTAAGTCTTTCACAATAAGCTTACATAAACGTAGAAAAGGCCAAAAAGAAAAATTTTCAGTAGATGACGGTGTAAAATGCATCAAGAGATACGTTTGTTTACTTAAAGTGCTGATGGAGATGACGTCGAGTGGTTTGTAATTAAAATGCAATTCGTCGGGTATTTCATTTGCATCTGAAAGTTTTCCGAGAGGTAGTAAAAAAGTTTCGGTGTTACTTGAAGTAATCTTCTATTTGCAACTTTAGATACTCATGATGAGAAGTTCGTGAAAGATTCTGAAGGTACAAAGGCTGGAAATAATAAACTCAGACAGAAAGTCTTGAATAAGCAAATATAATCCCGTTTGTTAACATAGTTCTGCCCTAGATGGCCAAACACAATTATGCCACCTTTGTTCGGAAGCAGCCTATGGGATTAACTTCCATTGAAAAAGGTTTGTGTACAACCAACAGAATTTAAAAATTATGCTAAGTTGAGTCTTAAATGCCGCACACGAAATGACGAGTAACGCGAAAAGTTATTTAATTTTATCGAGTAAATATGTTGCATACCTTCGTCAGAAGTGAATGTGGTGCCATCGCAGTTGGTATCCGTGAAAATTTACTTAAACCGTTAAATTCCCAGCACTGAATGACGAGTCGAACTGAATTTCATGAAAATATATCCGGAAAGAGTTCAGACCTTTGAGAAAATTACACAGTAACAATTGCTTCATTTAGGTCAGCTGGAGTTTAATTTTCGCAGGTAGTGAACGCTCGTTTTCCCAGTCAGACAATTTTTTAGGACGCTAAAAACTCCCGCAAACAATGAAAAACTCGTGATTTTGGCGAGGTTTTCGTCGAACACTATTTAACAGGAGTAAAAATTCCGCTCGTGAATCGAACAGGTCCTAGCCTAAATGCGAACATTGTGAAATCGTAAAACTCAAACATGGGTGCGAAATTAATTAAAGCCTATTCTTGTCATCAATAATCCATTCAACATGACAGCATGGTGTTAGAGAATTTAAGTTTGAAATCATCAGCTGTTGATTTCAAGGCGCAATTTCTACTCAGAGTTGATCTAAGCTGTATGTATTTCACAGATTTCGTTTGTGTTGGAATCTAAGAGATATAAAGATCTGTTTTAACTTGTAGCTTGTACGTGACCAGAGTGAAGATGTCAAAACCAAACCCTTATGGTTTTAGAATTCAAGACGAATTAGAAACTTTAGACAGGATAGTCAAGGTTTTCCCAGCAGATCAAACAGCGAAATAAAATTCCATGAAGATCTTCCCAAATGGTTAAGTAAAAGATCGCCTAAAAACTTCCTTATGCCACGGAATAGTAATGAAAAGGCCTACGCTAAATAATGATGAAAGAACCGAGGCCGCGTTTCTTCTAGAGTAGGTTAAACACGTCAATTTAACACTGAACGATGTACCTTTGCTAAAGCTGCTTCTCCGCTTGGCTGTAGCAGGAACGCAGGTGTTCCTTGGCATGGTAAAATCGTCGTAAGGCCGGCAACGACCGCTTAACGATTCAAAGCTGCTCATCTGTTTGAAATGCGCGCCAGAGATACCGCCATCTTTACTGCAGTAAAGTCTTCCCATGATGCTGAGCTGTAAGGAGCTCGGTGCTCCAACCAATGTACCGTCACCTCCTCGAGGAATATTCCCACAGGGAGTTCTCGGCGAGGGCACTGCATTGAAGTTTTCCCTTGTTGCCTTAAACAGCTCCTCGCATGTTACTAAAAGAAATGGCCGAAACGCTCTTCTACATGGTGCATCCAGGACCCGTATTTTGCATTCATTTTTCCGTTATAATTTATTCCACGATCATTTATTCCATCATCGCTATACATCATACATCGGTAGCTCGGTAGCTAATCTGAAGGAGAGTGAAAATCGATGAATACGATGCATTCGAATTGTCGCAAGACACAACATCACTTACAAATTTTAAAGATCATTGGTAACTAATACTTCACTTTTCAACATGGAGCGAAGTAACTTATGTTGGTAGCGAAGTAACTTATTTGATGGAGTGATCTCACTTTCGTTTGGAGCGACCTAACTTTTGGTTGGAGCGATCTATCCAAATACCTAGAGGACGAACGCAGAGCAATCCAGATTTCTGCGGTCAGATTTGTGAACAAATTGCACTTTTTGAGTGTTTATCTTTTGTTTTCATTACTCAGTTGACAGATTTATCATTTTGGTATTAGATCAATTAATCATTGATACTAACCAAAGTCCTTCTCAAACTTCTCTAACCCTAACCCTAACCCTAAGCAATTTAACTATGGGATTTCACAATTGGTGTAATCAATCAATTTTTTGGCAAAGAGGAGGAAGTTTGGATACACCCTCAGATACTGATGGATTCCACTACAAATCATACTTAAAGATTGGTTGAATTTCATAAACAAAGAACAGAAGCTTTATGTTCTCAGAAAATACTTTATTTATTTTTTAAACAAATGTTCCATATTAAATATATTTAGTTCAGTTCAGAGGCCACAATAATCTTTGTTAGTGGACATGTTCTCTATTGCATAGAGTGGTTATGTCTGGTTACAACTAAAAAATAAACAAACAAACGAACAAATAAAGAAGTCTTGTTGTTTTCCTAAGTATAATTAATCTGGCCATGAATAAACTCCCCTGAATATTCTGCCAGGTTCGAAATGGCCATACATAAAGCTAACTCATTCACAACTAGGGAGAAAGAGAGAAAAACTACTCACAGACAGAAGCCTGACTAAGTCTTGAATTATCCTCTACAATTTAAGTGTGTGCCATATTGCAACCAAATGCTAAGTGACTTGCCTCAAACAAAACTAAAACAGAAAAGTGTATATAAACAAAAAAATCTTCTTAGAGCATACTGCCTTACAATGGTATAGAAATACTTATACACTGGTGCCCCCTAATTTTACAAACAAAAATTTGCATCTTACAGCTAGCTAAAGCAAAATAAGAATAATCCAACAGTTTTATCATTCTACTAGTGAAATTTCCCAATAGGCAAGACAACATATTACCTTCGCTGAAAGAATGTTCCTGAAGCAAAAACAACAAAAAAGTTAAGACAAAAGGGCAGATTGAAAACGCCCTGCAACAATCCAAAACATTTGAATTAAGCCCCAAATCAACAAATAATAACAAACCTAAGTTATAACTAGCAAAGTAACCCAAATGAATAAAAGCCGCATGAAACTGAAAACTGTCAGGAGAGTCAAGTCTTAGTCAAGATAATTTTACTGGATTTTTATAACCCTTGATGTGACAAAACATGGTAAACAACTAGTTGACGTTCAGGATGTAAGTTCATTATCAAGTCATCTTTGAGATGAAGTTATATAAATACAGCATCTTTTTCCTTTTCAAAATAAGTTCAACTGCATTTAATGCAGTTTCTATGTCTGCCACAATCATGAGACTTGTCACATGTCACTGTTTGAAGTAGGGTGGAGGGTTTTGTTTACATTTAACACAGCCAGCATCAGATCAGGTAAGATAAACACAGATACAGAGTTTTTCAACCAAGTGTCATTAAAACAGACCAATGCAGTCACTGCAGCTCATCAAAGAAACCATGACTTAGAGATGAAAGATCAGAGTAAAACCATGAAAACTAACAGATGCATGAGGAATTGCCAGCAACAAAATTGCAATTGTTTAAGAATTGCATCTTTTAGTTTTGCATCAGATTGGTTCAGAGTGACACAAATATAAAAGATCCACCAATACTGGATTATTTTTGACACTCAGTTGAAATATGTATAGTCAACATAAACTCTGATGACTCTTAATTTTGCTTCCCTAATGACTGGTGTGGAAATAAATTGTAGGCTATGTCTTTCCCCTACATCTTCTACTCAGTACCATTTAGGACAATTTTGGTGGAAAAAAATTAATAATAATAGTATCTTTCATCTATACGCATGGCTCCTTCTCTTCCTTAAAAATAAAAAAGGAAATAATTTTAAAAAAGTGTGAAATTGAATTAAGGCTATGTCTGTATGTTCAAGAATTACAAGGTGAAAGCAAAATTAGGAGTCAAAAGGTTACAGTTTTTAACAGGCAAAGGAAGTAAAGCACAGTTTGCCACAACCCAATTCCACCAACCTTCAAATCTTTGTGTAGGTAAAGTAAAATAAGGCAACTTGGGTAGAATAACAGGCCTGGAAAATCCAACCAAGTTGTCTTTTGCACCTGACATGAATCACACCCTCACATGCACCACAAAGCTGTGGGGGTAATATTTACAGTAATTTTCTTATATACAAATAACAGCATAGTCAACATGCTGGTATTGTTTGTCTAATGGCAGCAAATAAAGCAATGTTCACTGAAAAGTTAATACTCTGGAAATCTTTCTGGAGGAACCAATGAATTCCTGATTGGTATTACTGTGACACATTGTACATATATCAGGCAGAAGTGGCACCACATAAGCTTTCTGAGAATACGAGATACTTGTATAATGATCAATCTTTCTGCTTATAAGCAAACCACTTGATGCAGGTGTAGCAATTAAAAAAAAAAATCTCCTCCTCCTTTAGGGATAAAAATGACTTCTTTTGCGCACTTTATCTTAGCCGCAGGTCACCTAAGGTTGTGTCATGATTCTGATTAAATGTTCCACCAAATAGAGTTTGCTCTCTATCGTCAAAGAGGAAAGGATCATCAGAGTGGTCAATTTCATTGTGCCTTGGAAAACGTGCTCCTGTTGGTTTCAATTGTCCTTGAAGGAATGATGGACTTGCAGGGCTCAGAGTGGGTGATGTCATATGTGACTGCTGAAAAGGTGTAGGTCTGTCAAATGTGAAGACATTTCCAAGTGTTGTGTGGGGTGAGATGTGAGGGGACATTGAAGGAGGAGAGAAAGGTGGTGAAACAAGTCTATTCAATCCTGTTTGTGTGGAATTAAGAGGTGATGTGAACGATGATGAGGCTGGAGAGGTATTGTTTACGATTGCAGACCAGCTTCGCTGTGTAGGAGAAAGGATGTTATCCATTGTCATAGGGGGAGAATGAAGATGATCTGAGTTCACTCCATTGCTGTGAGATTTTAACTCATTGCTTCCTAGAAGTCCGTGTGGGGGAGAAAACATAGGGTCCTTATTAAGGGCAAGTTCTTTGATCTTGTTATTTTCCTTTTTGATATTGTTCTGATGAATGATTGGTGATATAATGCTTGGGCCTGTGTGAGAAGCATTACTTGCATTAACTAACTTCTTTGAGTCTCGTAAGTTAGAGACCTTGTTTGGCTTACTCCTGCTATTCAGTGGTGATGACTTTGATCCAGATTCAGACAAACAAGAATCATCTTGACCTGTGCCAAGAAAACCACTACTGTTTAACAATCCTGGGGTGTGTGTGATTACTGATGCTGGAACAGAGTGTCCAACACCACATTCTTTGCCTTTTCCAGAATACAGACTTTTAATGGCAGAATTGCCATTGGAAACAGTAGGGAAATTTTCACTAAGGATATCATGTTCACTTTCCTCATTATCAAGGCCACCAAGGAGTATCTCCTCCCTTTGCTCCGATTCAAACATAGGTGAATCATACTGCTGAAACTCATCAAGATCAGGTGACATAGGAGAAGGTCCACTTCCATGTGAGTAGTCAGATGACAATGACAAACTGATATCTGGAGATAACATATCCGATGAATTATCAGGACTAAATGAATTGTCCAAACCAACAGGTCTTATTGAATTGTTAGGTGTCTTTGCTACTCTTGCTTTGTTTGACCTGGGCATAGCTGGTTTTCTATTGGCTGGTTTTTTAGTTGGCTTGGGTAGCTTTTGAAGTAATGGGGCCTTTGGCTGTGGTTTCCGCCGTGGCTTCTTTGGGGGAGGCTTTGTTACTCCAGGAGAGGACTTGGCTGCTGCTGCAGCTGCTTGAGCTTGGGCTTGAGCCTCTTGAAATTTGGCCTGCAACAAAAGAAAAGCATAAAATATTGAATACAACACACAAACAAATGACATATACAGCCTTACTAGCTCAATCCTATTCAAAACCATAACATGTAAAGGGTCAGACAGATTGATCTGAGCTGTTTGGCCCTGCTAAGCATGCGCCCTTCTACCCATGGGTATTTTATAATACACTGCACTATCAGTTTACCAGGGTAATAACCCACTAAGAGGTTAGTGTTTGTAGACCTCACCCCTTCAGCTTCTGATTTACAAACTTTTCTCCTTTTCTCCAAACATATGACATGGGTCACTGCACTGGTGAATAATAGGAAGTGGCATCTATTACTTATAGTAAAAGTTAGAAAACTGCGCTCACAGTTTCTTCTCAACAAACCACAAACAGCAGCTTATGGAGTAAGAACAAATTTTGAAGTTGCAGCATCTTTTATCAAATTCAACTAAAGATGGCCTAGCTGTTAATTTTGTTCTAAACTGCATATCCAGTTTCTATTCTAATAGACACAGCTTCTAACCTTTTTCCTGGCATGTTCATCACAAAGAGGACGCTCATGAATGACATCAAACACTGGCACAGAACATTGGAGACCTCCAGGCCACTTGGCAGTGCACTGGGCATACAATACTTGCATAGAGTCATTCATTATATCTACAAATTTTGACTCTGTTAAGGAAACAAACTAAAGAGAAAAGATTAATATATTTTTTGTTTTGGGGCAAAGCAACCTATGTCAAACATCAACCTTCACAATGGCCACTGAAAGGAGATTCTAAAATATAATTTACAAATGTAACAGAGTACATTTAGGTTAAAATTTGAGTGAAAATCTCAACTACATTCTTGCTTTGAAAAATTAAACTTGCTGTGTAGATTCCGAAAGACAGCAAAAATAATTTTACATGCCCACTACATATACCCCCACATGACCTACATTAATGATTTCATAGGCGTAATACATTTGGCTGCCAGCCAAGCAAGTTGCAACTTTCATACGGAGTAGTCTGATTATCAAACTATAGGGAACTATCAAATTGTAGCACTCATTTCTGCCTAACGTGGCCCTTAGCAATTTCCAATCCTACTATTTTTTCTCAAAATTTCTCTCAAGGCCAACAGTAAATATGTGGAAAGGATACGATCCCTGCAGAATTTGGTGTATGGGAAGGCTTTCTTCTTACATTGAACGTCATCTTGAGTGAATGCACATGTTTTCACATGACATCTAGCAGGTCTGGGTCTATGGAGAAAAGAAATTCATGTTAAATTTAATGGGGTTAAAGGGTTAACTTTGCTTCTCCGACTCTCTTATTTTTGTTATAGCTTAGTATAGTTGAACCTTGACTATCAGGTCCAATTTTCTCATGAATATCAATAAGTTGCATTTGAGATCTGTAACAATTTTTTTCCGGTGAAACAAAGCAGATGTACTGAAACAATTGGGCACTATTCTATTAATGCACCTTTAATGCTAGATCATTTTAAGCTGTAAAATGTTGTTGTGAGACATTTTTCTTAAGACCTTGGCAGATTTTGGGCAAGACACACATGATTAGAGAATTCCCTTTAATTTTCGTGAAAAGTTGATTGAATGCTACTTATTCTCTTTATTTATGACTCAATAATATACAAATATTCAATTATCCAGACTCATGCTTATCTGGACTATTCAGCCCATTCCCACAAGCCTGGATGATCGAGGTGCGACTGGAAAGATTACCTCTGATCTAGAAATGAAGTGACCTGCGTGACCAAGCATTATTCCTGTTTCAAAGACATGGAGCCATTGAGTATTACCCCCCCCCCCCCTTTCCTCTAAAATACGAAGCTGATCCATGACAGGTTCATCTGTTCATCTGTTCATCTGTTCATCTGACATTTATAATCTTTTACATGAGGAAGGCAATTTGAGGGGGAAGAGTCTTGCCCAAGAACACAACACCAAGACCAAACAAGGGTTTAGACCCTGACTTCTAAATCTATGGAGTAACCACATCTTCCAGATCATAGCTCCATATCTGGGGTAAATTCACCAGGTAACATGAAATGCAGGGAATTCAATTCTTCTAATTTTGTGAAACATCCCACCTTGTTCTCCGCATCTTCTTGCTATTTTCCAGAAGAGAATCCACACAGGCTGAACTGTTACTCTGAACAGCCTTAACCAGAACATTACCAGATGCCATCATATCTTTGTATTGATGACGCCGTGTTCGCAGTGTTCTCCTCAGTTGGTGAAGTTGTCGTCGTAGCTGGCTGCTCAGTCTTGAAATCTTAGCAGTTCTAATATCAGCATGAAGGCTAAAAAGAAATTGGGTAACATAAATTTGAAGAAACCACTATTTCTTAGATCAACTCGGAGGCAGAATTATTTTTGATGAAAAAACAACAACAATAATTTCATGCATGAATTATTTTTTTCAAATACCCTTCTAAACCCTACCAAGATCTAAAACTAAAGTCTTCATACATAATGCAATTCATTCTTTATTGCTTCAGCTCCGCAAAAAGTACTGTTAAGTCAGACAAGACCCTTTGGTTGCTATTTTCTTTCTTCTTATAACCTTTCTGCTTGAAAATGTTATGATACTTAAAGGAGAAATTTCTAATTTGCCTTTCTGGGCAGTGAAAGGATTGAGACCTTCTAAGGGAAGATAATTTTTTTTTTTAAATTTTAAATTTTAAGATCCATCAATACTTCCTTTCCAACTATTGATGAATAGCAACAAGTACATAGGATTGCAACTCTTTAGAAAAATACCCTCCTTAGAAAACCATCAATAATTTGGGGCACAATCCATCAGTTATTGGGGTACAAAAGATGCTACAGTGGTGGCATAATTATTTTCAATGTGTTTCCGTTCTTGTAAGACATGGCAAACACTCTCAACTGTCAGGGAAAAAAAACAAGACAAGCTGACTAACCAGTTGTTTTCTTTTCTGAGAGCTTCATAATCAAGGTCACTATCAGAAGAGAGCCACATTTGCTGCCAGGGCATATCATCACCTTCACTGGAACTGTCACCATCAGAACTCTCAATATCTGACGACAAAAATACACGTGCATTAAAACTTAGAAGCATTACTTGCAGGGAGTTTACAGAGATCAAAGAATTCTGCCACTAGCATGCACAATTCTCCTGCTAATGACTGGAAACCAAATATGCACTGGATTAACTATGAACTTTAACAGAAACTAGCATTTTTTATGACTTGAAGATGAATGATAAAGTTAAATATATTTGTGAGGAAATCTTTATCACAATCAAGTTAAGTAATTGTTACTGGCCCTGCCTTAATGGTGATTGGCTTAGGAAAAACATTAAAAAGGAAGGCTGTTGTATTCTGGAAATCTTGAGTTGATGTGGTGTAAAATGACTGTAAGCCAAACAGAACTAAGGCATAAAATAGCCCTAGATCATTGCATTGAATAACATGGACCAGGTTAATTGCATCACAATTCTTTCTTAGATGCAAAAATTCAAACTAACAATACTGAAAGGTAGCCAAAATGCAGAATTCACTCTGACAATTGGTTAACACTGAAATCATTAGCTTAAGAAACTCTTTCTGTGGCCAATTTACATTACCAACTCAGTTGGCCCAGCTCCACAATTTCTTTTGAAACTTATTCCCTCTATTTGTAAGGCAGAATGAACAGTTTTTACGGTCAAAACCATCATATTGATCTCAGAGAACATACTCAAATTGAATCACAAGTTTGCCAGCTGAGAGCTACTGCATTAGCAAGAGCCTTTAATGAAATAGACTCCTTTCACACCATTACAGTCATAACAGCATGCCTGTGTTTAACTTCACATCTTTGTTACTGTGTGAATAACATTTAGTTTGTTTGTTTCCACTGCAAGGTGCACCTTTCAAGTGGATTCACTGGTGAGAATTCTCTGGTTACAAAAAATATGTTCAAATCAAGGTGAAAATTTCCAGCTGTTTAAAGCAAAATACTCTACAAATTCTGGAAACTTTCATTCATACCATTGCTTGGATTAAATGTGCTAATGTCCAAGTGTCTGTATCATATAAATGTTCCAGACCCACTGGGATCATTTTCTTTTCCTAAACTATGAAGAATTTGTGTTTTACTGCAACTGTATATCCCACAACCAATTTCCATCAATATCACCCAGCAAAAACTGTACATTACTATCCAAATTGGAATTTATCAATTGATTGCACACTTGTAGAAATAAGACGGCTAAACTCAAAAGATGTTTCCAAGGTGATAAAAGGGAAATGGACCGAAACTTTAAAAGCTCCTAGATAACCTATTCAAAGGTATTAATTATGTCGGAAAATTTATATAACAGCTTTTTATTCAAGTGTACACAGTGAGATAGTCAAGCCACACCAGACTTCTGATGAAACCTCTTAACTTGTTAAATTAACACCCTGTGAACTGTACTTCTCTGAGAAATTAAAAATTTTCAGTTGTAATCATTCCAGCCAGCAGATGTTTGGTGAAATTGTTCTGTACTTAACTTCCAGAAACATCTATCTTTACTGAGCTAAAATCACATGATGTCAGGTATTTTTTAAACCTGACCGACACGATACTTTCACTTTAAAACTTAGGTGATCTCGTGACAATCACTACTGAACTTTTTTCAAATAAATAGGAATGGATCACACCATAATAAATTTGGAAAATTAGAAACTCTGCCACCAAAAACTTCGTCTGATTTAAATCGGGTAACGTGGCAGGAAAACTGGTGGATATACCACTGATCAAAACATTTTCTGTAAAATTGTGAAACTATAACATGACACGAGATTTTTGTAATTTTTTTTTCCAAACTAGAGAGTAACACGATCGATTGACCATCAATAGAGGTTTGAATCTCGTTCATCTACGAGAAAAAAAGGTCGACGCCAATAGATTCCATGAGGAAAACGAAATGGTGAAAACAAAACTGTATCGTATTTTTGGACAAAGCGTTTTCTACAGAACAGTAAAGACCTACTCACGGAAATTTAAATTCTTGTTGTTGTAACTCGATAGTTCATGCTTTAGATCATCGAGGTGCCACGAAGTACATGTATTGTGCACAAAAACACGAAATCGCTTTAAGCTTCTATTAAAAGCACAAAGACGCAAAATTTCTGTAAAAATCCTTACCATAAATCTTGAATAAATCCGCTCTGTCTTTCTGCCATTTTCTCCTACTCTCTCTCAACTCTTCAATCGCTGGACTATTTGCGTAATTTTTCTTCGGCGGTTGATTTTTAGGCTTTTTTGAACGATAAGGAAATAGAGTGGGGATCGAAGACATGTTTGTCGATGCTGGAGTCGCCAAAACATCTGTCCTTGCTTTACATTCTGTTGTCGAAGAAGATGAATTCGCCTCGCACTCGACTCCTTCGCCAGGTTTTTTTCGTCGATTCTTCTTGGGAACGATTCCTAAAACTTGTAAATGACTATTGCAGTATCTGAAAAGGTAACAAGAACATAAAGCATGAGTTAGAACGAAAATTCAGAGCGATTTATCATCAAAAGCATTATCACCATCGCTTTGAACATCAAAGTGAAGCGCGGAAGCGATCAAGAGGAGAATGATATTCACAAAGGGGGAAAAGCAAAGAAAACAAAATTACAAACTCACATTCGATCCTCGGCAGACGGTATAGGATTTGTACACTGATGTCCGTTGTATTTTGCCACAAACTGACATTGTTTAAACGGAGCGTTTTTATCCTCTAACACATGTCGAATACAAAACGCGTAGCCATTTAACCTTCTTTGCTTACAAAGCTTTTCACTGTAGCTACAAAGAAGTTTTCCATCCAACGGCGAAGAATGAATGTTCTTTCCCTCAAACATAACGTTTGCCGTCTTTGCTTGCTCTTTCTTGGCATCGACATCTACAACGAAAGGAATAAATTTCCGAAAAATTAGAAACGACAAGACCTATCGAATATTAATCGCAAATTTAAATGATTTTCAATATCCCAAATAGGGAAAATTACTTGATTTCTCCGCCATTCCCTAAACACAACAAGATGGCCTTCGAAATTGAAGCGAAATACCCATTTCGACGTTTTTGTATGACGAAGAAAAGTTTCCTGTCGAGCAAGATCCAGACGTGAAAGGACCGCTAAAATATGCATACAATTTTCCGTACGACTAGTTTATACAAACAATGCTTGCACGTACTTGCGTTGAAACTGCTCGTTTCGAACTTCAAAACACTAGGTTTAGTTTGTATTTCCTCCATAAAGATAAATGGAATGTTTCTTCGTTCAGAGAACGGCTAAAATCGAGTGTACGAGCCCGTTCCTTCATGCGATTCTTGTGCGTTCGCCATCGTGGCTTGCGTTGGACTGCCGACCACTCGGTGACGAGCGAATGAGAAAATCACACACCCTATAAGCGCCCTTTTTTGGTACACCAAACCGTATTGAATGACACCTTGCTCGAGACACTGAAAACATAAATCCTTTTATTCCCGGCCCGAGAAGAAGGCATTTTTTCGTTGACTCGATCCACTGGGAAGAGGAATTGAGGTAGTTTCCGAAAGTTCGAAGAGCAACGAGATACGTCGGGATAACGGCAAGATATTCGCGCGAGAGGCCCCACTCCATGTTGGTGTTTTTTTCAGCCATGGGCTCTGGGGCGGGTCACATTCAAGAAGACGCCATTTTACAACTGCGACAACGAGACTTCAACAACAGCCAATCAGAAGCGAGATTTGAGGGAAACGAAGTCTAAAATTGCTATTGTCATAGCAACGATAGCTATGATTGACAGCTGAATATAAACAGCGTGGGAAATATGGCGGGAAAGAACTGAAAATGCAATGGACACCTTTCTTCAAGAGCTTTCCATTTCCTTTTATCAATCATGGTTTAAATTTAGAGAAAATGTATAAAAAAAGGGAATCTTGAATAGCGTGATTCTCCCTAAAAAAGAGGAAATTGGGTATGATAAGAGATATCTTTTTTCCGGGAAGGAAACAATGTACCTCTTTCTCACATCATTTCATTTGTAAAATGATGTCGACCGGAAATGCGGAAAACGAAGTGAATGTTGAAAATATTGTTTTGTTTTAAAGATTCACGATTTCAGAGATGACCTCTTTGTTATTCCAGAGACTATGGCGAAAAATTTTTTAATAATATTCACGACCGGAACTTCTCGCTATTGAATATACATATTTTTTTAAAGAAGAGAAAAAATATTTTTTCTCCCGGTTTGAGAAATACAGTTTGGGTTTGTATTTGTCTGATTTTTACTTTATTATATTTTATTTTCAGCACTTATGTTGCTTAAAAACTGAAAATTAAAGTATCACTAGATTTGGAAACATTTTGGTCAATTTTGCGCCTAAAGGGAAATAAGCTTTTGGGCTGTGCGTGCTTTCGTAATTACATTTTATCAATTTATTCTTTGTCTCCCTAATTTGGAGGAACCACCTGTAATGGTGAAAGGATAGAAGAGGGAAAAAAAAAAACAGCAGCAATGAAATGGCCTCAATCTTCGCTTTCTATCTTTCGTCATTAGCCTCTTTCTTAAAGCTGACTTTTACCTAAACGCACTTTGTTCATTGCTTCTTTTTTCCTTTGTCTTTGACACTCGTATTTCCTTAAAAATTCTAATTACGAATTTTTGCCCGACAGTTGAAGCATGAATCGTTTATGTGCATAACATTGAACGAGTGAAGACCGATTTAATGTTTCCTACCCTGGTAAGTGTATTTCATTTCTATTTTGAACAAGGATTCTACGAAAATTTTTAATTTTTCTATTAATTTTCCTAAAATCACAGTGGCAGACGGGAAATCAGTGAAAATTGAAATAAAATTGGAAATATAAATATTTTTCAAACTCTTGAATACCTGTGAATTCATTTATTAAAGAAGGCGTGCAGTTCAGTTTTGAGGACAATCATTCAGTCAGTTTTGACCTGATGAAGAGCAAGTGGGTGTGGGAATTCCTTACCTTACAGGGGGAGAGTAGAGAGCCACATAAACTCTTTTCTTTCAATCACATCAGAGAAAATATCTCTCTGGAAGTTTTCTTATCCCAAGCAAGCCCCTAATTTCAGCAAGAAACTGTTGAAGGACCCTTCCCTCCTTCTGCCACTAGGAAATTCTCACTCCTCCCTTGCAGGAAGCATCACTGATTTTTTCACGGAAAACTTTGATGCTATACTCAAGATCACAGAGCACCTATATCTTAAATGTGCTTCTTTCTTTATCTATCACAACAATAGTTTGTGGGACACAAAACAGTCTACACTAAAAAATTCATGCCATCATTCAGCTTTCAAAATTTAACTTTACTTCCACTCGCCTCATGCAACTGTAATTTCAACTTATCTGTGATTTACAATTTGTTATGCAGCACTTTTTGCTGAAAATAAACTATAAATATAGTTTTATGCATAAAAAATGTCCACTTCTCAATTTGATCTACTAAGTGGTATCAATGAAGCAATCAGATCAATGTCTGTATCTGACTAACTGCACACCCACCCCTCCCCAACTGCAGTCAACTGATAACAAGTTAGGGTTAATGTTGGGTAAGGGGAGGGGTAAGAGCACAGTTGTTCATATATTGACATTGATCCAAGCATACAACCTTATTCTTGGGCTCAACTCATAAATTAACCCTTCAACTCCAAGACAAAATTTGTAATTCTCCTTACTGTCAACCATACAATTCTTCTAAAGTTAGTTCAGAGAATTGAGTATTGGATCAACTAATTATCACCAAATTGATATTTTTCTTTTTTCTCATCACTTATCTGGTTGATATTCTATTGATATTGTAAGGAGAAATTCTGTCTTAGTCACTCATAGAAGTTAAAGGGTTAAGGGAACACATTGTACCCAGATGTTCATTTGAAGCTGTGTTAACCCTTACACTCCAAAGATTAGAATAAAAATTCTTTGCGCTGTCTGCCAAACATTCAACATTCCTGGTTATTCTGGCTTCAAGAAATTAGTGTTAAACAACAAGCCACATTTACATATTGACATTCTAGGAAGAAATTTAGCACAGTACACTTAATTTCACTACTTGCACTGAACATTACCAAGTATGCTACAGTCACAAAAGTTTTATTGTTAAAAGTGTCATTTATTCTCTCAATAAATTAATCTGACAGAGTATCTGACATATCTCCATCATAAGAGGGAACAACTCCTCGTTAATACTCATAATAAATAAACCATCTATAAAGAATCTGTGACTAAACAAGAAATTTAATCTTCTTGTGCTTCTCATGGTTTAACTTAATTTACTTGAACTAGAGGCCTTTGGATTTTAATGTAAATAAATTCAGTGCATATCACATGAAACCACGGTATTTTCTAGTCCTCATAACAACCTTGCTCTTGCTCATTTAAAAGATGATTTAAAATATCTTTGTGCCCAACAGAACAAAACTGTAATCATCCACAGCAACAACTGCATACAATATGTTAGTGCCCTTGGTCACAGTCTTTGTCTTCCAAATTGATGTCTGAGCTGTTGGCAGTTTCTGCAAAAGCAAAACAAAAATGGTGATGGGCGATATAACAAACGGTAGAAAGGTTTGAATTGCCATCTCATAAGTAAGAGTTACCAGGGAGCAGGCAACTTAATGAAAGAAAACTAATTTTGATGAAAATTAGTTTAAAACTGCTATGCACATGATGGACTGCCCTTGGCAATTCAAACAATTTAAACTTTAACTGTAACTCCAAATAAACCAGAATGGAACTACAGATGACCAAACTAGAGAAAACAGCAGAGGGAATAAACCTAAAAACTTATGTAGCAAGATTTACAAGTTGTTTTCACCTAAAGAAGTGACCCTGGGTAATTTTGATTTTGATTTTGAATCAAGTTCAGATCTAGGTTTGGAAAAAGGATTTGTTATGTAGCATGAAAAGTTTGAGAAGTTTCAACTCTTGCACATTTGTGCAGAGTGTCCACAAACCTGCAAAAACAATTCCTGAAAAACTAAGCTCCCATCTTTCAAAACTGACTGGCATCTCTGTCACAAATTTTCAGTACACACTGCATTTTACCTTTGATTTTCTCCACTGCAGCATCATCACCATTCAATAACTCTTCCTCCTTCACAGAACTGGGCTCATCTGCCTTTTGTGTCACTGAAATATAACAAATTAATTAGTATGAGGTTTGAATAGCCTGGACAGAACTACAATAACTGCAAAAAGTGGAGAAAGATGTGTCCTTCCTAAGTGACACCATGCTTACTACAAGAAATGAGGACATGACAATTTAGGCACTACATGATGTTTCTAAAAAAACTCTTTCAACAAAAACAAGAGGAAATATTTCTTTGACACAAACCATTCTTTTTCTCTAACATGGCCTGCACTGAATTTGTGGGTTTCCTGTGGTGCAGCCCAGCACCTTGTCCAGAGGTTTGTCTTGGAGATGACCAAGTGTCATAATCCAGTTTTGGAGCAGTGGGACGATGTTTCTTTGCTGGGTTGAGTTGGTAACAATAACAGCATCTAAAGGCTGGTCATTAAAATAATACAAATAGCACTCAGCAAAATACATCTTACTGAAAAAAAAGAGGAGAGACACAGCTGCCCAGCAACCAATGTGCTGGAATCCAGGTTGGGAAATCGGGGTTCAAGCTTTAGCTGGATGCTCACTGAGCTGAGTTGAACTTGTGGGAGTACATCATACTCTGAGTTCATGTGTTACAGGAGTCCTGCCTACTTTTAACCATTTAACTCCCAAGATCTCATTGTTAATCCTCCCCTTTAGATGCTACACATTTCCTTGTAAATTAGTTAAGAGAATTTGGTGTTAGATTAAGACGAAAACTTCTACCTGATAAGTTTGAGTGTTCTCACTACCAATTCTCTATAACCAATCTCTTATCCAACAAGCACAGGCGGAAAAATTGTGTTATTAAATTTCATTAAAATCCTAAACATTTGGAGCTTTCTAAGGCCAAATTTTCAGCCTGTTGCAATGCATTTCCATATAAGGTGACTCAGAATATGAGCTGATGACTGGAATCAACCAATCAGAATACTAGAAATGCAGTACTTGAAGTTGAAAATTTAATAATTGTACTTGGTATAGAAATAATTTTCTTGGAGTGAAAAGCTTGGGACCAGGACGTTTTCTTACTCAACAGGGCATCTATATTGTATAAAATCAATAGTGTGTGTCCCCTTCAAGATGTTGTAGATCAATTCAACAGCATACCTATATATTCAAATTCCTCCTTCAAGGCCATTCCATTGTGAGAGTGGCATTGACTGCATATCAGAGCATATCTGTTATTTGGTCCATCACCAACAAGATATTCCACCAACTAAAAGCAAAAAAAGTTCCATTGTGTAAGCCATTGTTAACCCCTGAGAGTGACCAGCAACTAATTTCTCCCAACAGCATTCCCCCTGAACATTGCCACTGCAGGCATCTAAAGTTTTCTTTTTTTTTTTAAGGGCAATTTTCAAGCTAAATGCTTTTGCATTATACATGATTTTGAATTTTTATGAAATTTCATATATCAATTTTTGTCAATTGTATCAATTGTAATCTTGAATTGTGAGTAAAGTTATTATCAATCACATATTCCCCCTGAATCAAACAACAAGGTCACATGAATTAAGGGAATGATCACAAATTCAAGAAGCTCTTGCTTTGTTAAGCAAATTCTTCTTTTCAGTTCCTAATGAAATATATAGAGAACAGTATCGAGAATATGGATACTGATGTTAGGGTGTAAAGGATGAAGACTGAATATTGCATTAAATAATTAAAACAGACAAAGAGGCTTAAAGCACGGAGTTAGACAGTAAAAATTACTTTATCCATAGCTGTTCTCTCTCGTGGTAAGATTGGCTGAGCAGGTCTTGGCATGGGACCTGGTGAGGCTATTCTGCGGGGCGTACCAGGGGGCAATGGAGATGCTGCACCTGGGAGGTCAAAGGGTAACGGTGAACGTCAGTTTTTATTCAAGGGATGCAAAAGAGGAAAGGAAGGCCACCAGGAAATGATTGATATTACTTATTATGATTGTTTACAAACAGTTCATCACAAAGAGGTTTCATAATTGCATGGAATGTTGAGTACTTTTTTACTGAAGCTCGAGCAAAAAGAAAGCCAATCTCTCCCACTTCAATTGTACAGCAGTGAGTAAACACTCTATCATTGTGAATTAGAGGTGAAGCAAAAACTTCCACCTGACAATATCAACCCTCAGACTTAAGGATGATGAAGTTTTACATGGAGCCTCTTCAGTCACAAAGCAACAATCCCAGTAACAGTATCATAACATCAAATTATACGATGCACAAAGAAACTTTAAAATTGTAATGAATTCTGCAAAGCACAAGACTAACCTGATGAGTTTGAAGGAATATTCATGAGGCTGTTGGATTTCTTTGGCTCTATTGCCTTCTGATTTGTCTGTTTGCTATCCCCTGATTGATTCATCTGGCCTGGAGACTCTGCTAGAGAGGGCTCAGAGATGGTGCGCTGTAATGGAGCCCCTGGACTTTCAACCTTACCCAGGGCATTCCTCTGTCTTAATTCTGGGGGAAAAAAGTCCTCATCACAAAGAATTTTGGATCAATATCAGTATCTGGGCAACTGCCCACCTACCCCTCCCCTAACCCAACAACAGTCTATTGATAACAACTTAGGGTTAATGTTGGGTTAGGGGAGGGGTAGGTGGGCAGTTGCCCAGATACAGATATTGATCCAGAATTTTTAACCCACTGTACCTAAAAAGGGACTGGCTTCTAAACGCTCCTTGCTTTATTACTCTTGAATCAAATATAAAAGTCATGAGAACAAGGAAATGATGACCAATTCAAGAAGCTGCTGATTTTCAAACAAATTCTCCTTTTCAGTAACAGAAGAATCGTCAGAAATATAAAGAGAACAGTGAGGAGAATAAGAACATTAATATTTGGATGTAAAAGGTTAAGGTAACCCATTCCCACTCTGGTTTGTCCAACAGAGCTTCACTTCAAAGATTTTTAGTTCAAAGAAAGCAGAACACCCAAGTCCCACTCTTTGGCTTCCCTAAATTTATAAACAGACATTTGTTAAAAAAAGAGCCGTACCGACCGTCTGACTGCGAGTCCAATGCCTAACTGACTGTGCTACAAGAACATTCGATTACACGACTTAAATTTTATTGTCAAATAAAACTGCAGCACTCCTTCGCGTAAGCGTTCGACAGGAGTGTTTTCGTATAAACTTTTGGCTATGTCAACGTATCTTTGGTTTTGTCTTCAATTCTGCCGTAGCGTGAGTTTGTTCAAGGATATTTTACGTCTGCTAAATGGTGTTTTAAACTCAAAACAAAAAGCATACTCTTTCTTTAAACTGGTTATGAATATGCAAGTTCTTGGGGGCTGTATTGTTTTGATGAAACAAAAGGCTTCTTTTGTTTCAGCTTCATTCAATGAAAGCCGCTACGAAATTCAAGGTTTTTTTGCATACGTTATTTCTCAAAAATGAAGCGCAAACCAGCAAAAAAAAAACCAAAACAGTGTATATTGAGTAAAACTAAGTCCACATGCCAAAATTCAACTACTTCTGAACACTTTCAAAAATGGCCGAAAAATAAAGGGGTCGTTCTTGCTCTGAGCCTTTCAGTTAATCCCTAATTTAGTACCCAGAGCTGAGACAGGGGGTGCTTGTTATTCAAGGGGGAGTGCATGCTTAATTAAAGAGAGGTGCTTTTTCAAATGTCCCAATATAAACCTTTTTTGTACAATGACATTTGCATTTAAACAATGTGAATGGTAAATATGTTGATTTACAAAGCTGATGCTCAACAGGATCACATTTTGTACTTGAAGTTATTTTTCAAACCTTGGCAAGTTCAAAAACTGAAAAGAGTACACCATAAATGTGGCAATTGAAGACTGCAGTAGAGCACCTGACTATGTTACCAAACAGGATCACTTGCCAACAAAAATGGCAAAGAGGACACTTATCTCAGGAAGGAGGGGAGGGGGGCAATCATTCTAAATTAGCTGACAAGGGGAGGGTATGTTTATTTGCTTATTTGTGTGTGTGGGGGGGGGGGGGGAAAGCAGATATTTTACATTTCAGCCAATATTAGAGGCAGTTTTTGAAATAGCCCACAGTGAGGGTAAAAAAGTTAAGTACACACTCAAATCAAGAGCCCTATCCGGCCAAAGTTTATCTTGGTTTCTGTAACATAAAGCTAGTACACACTTTAACCTGCGGATGGAAAGAGGCTGTGAGAGTAGAGAGCCTTGCGGAAAAAAAAAATGACCTGGCCAGGTCTTGAACCTTGAATCTCATAACACAGAGTCCAGATGCCTGCTTCTTGTAAAGCGGTTCCTTTTTCATCCAAGATGGGAGTTTCAAAAGTTTTGAGAATTATACAATAAAAATATCAGCTGAAGAAACAAAATGGACTGGTTAGAATGTCACAGCATGCTTCTCTATTATTTAACTTTTGATTTTAAAACATGGCTTCAGGCCAGTTAAGTTACAGGGCCTCATGAGAAACAGAGCCCAGGCCCCAAATTCAATGGGGAGGTGCTAATCTAAAGATCTTCAGTGCTAACCTGTTCCCATTGAGCCACTTGGACTCTGTACACTGTGTGTAGGAGTCGAAATGGGTGTCTCTTTTCTTTCCACCTGAACAAAAGAACAATTGGTAAGGCAATACACCATTTTACTGTTGTGTACTTAGTTGCCAAGCCTTTGATTTGGAGTGAGGCTGAAGGTAACCTTGTTGTGATAGAGACCAGTATCTAGTTAGCATGATAAAAAAGCAATTTACATTTGAAAAGCAGCAAGGTTTGTATCACAACAAGGTCACCCTTAGCCTCACTCCTGTTGAAAGGCTTGGCAACCAAGCATGTAACTGTTAAAATGGACTATTTAGATAATACAATTTTTTTGCTCATGATGGTTCCATGCTCTAATATGGTCTCAATATGAATCACATTGTGTGATTCATACCTACATCAACTCTGCAACAGTCATATACAAAGTTGAAAATGCAACAGGTGAACAGAACTAGTTGCACTTACAGAGTTAAGATGACATCTCTCTGCAGTGGATCAGAATTTGTTACTTTTTAACCCCAATTATTTCATTTGTTCCCTTCAAAATGGTATTGAAATAATTTCTAGTTATTCCTCACAATGTTTTTTTGTTACTTATAGGCAGATAAAGCAAAACATAATGTGTTAACAGTATTGTCAGAAAAATTATGACAACTTGTTGAAAAACAAATCAGACAGGCATTTTTTTTTTTGCAATACTAAAACTGACACTTAGTTACAGTTACAACACAATTTTATCTTAATACCATGATGAAACACTTTCCTGTTACCTTAACAACTTCAGAATTGGGGTCATATTTAGCCAGCAAATCTTTAGCTGCTTTGTAAGTCTCTTTTTCCATTACTTCCTCAAGCTAAAAATTCACACAAATAAGCAATGTAATAAAAAAAATAAGTTGTAATTAACTAAAAAGGCCTAGAAAATAAAGACCAAAGGTAAACAAAAGCCATATCCTCAGATTATATTCAAAAGTAATATAAAAACATTTCCATTTTACTTACAACTTGTCTCTTCTTGTCCTTTAACTCTTCCAGCCTTCTTTCTGAAAATAAAAAAAATACAAACTAAATGAGTTTTCCAAAAAAAAATTTAGGCACTACTATTCAGTAAGACCCTCTGTTTGATAATTTTTAAGAGACCAGGGAATACAACCATGGTTTTCAGAAATTCATTTACAACATGCTACTTTTTTAGCTATCTTTCAGATTCAATGTAAAAAGATCATGACTGCATAGTAAGGAATATATTAGGTATAGAGTAGACACTGTATACTTTCCTAAGGAACAAAAAGTATTTTCAAAGCTTAAAATACACTAGACATAAAAACAGTCAGGTTCCTTACCATTCTTACTAATTCTTTGAACAAAAAAGTAATGAAGCACTCTCTTCAATAAATACACTCTGGAAAAAAGGAGGGGCATGTTTTAAGGTTTGATAGTCACATGACAGTTTAGCAAACATGGTTGGAATACCTTTGGAGAGGGTCCTTACTGTGCACTTCACCAATAACTAGACTGACTGAACACAAGGGAGTAATGAGGAAACATGATGTCAACAATCACATAGCTGAACAACACCAACCTACGAACCACACCATTCACTAGGACTCTGAGCAATGCCTAACCTACAGCACCAACTACTTTCAACAACTGACTCTGGAAAGCTGATTTACTAACTAAGAACAGACCTCCTCAACCACTACTGCCACCATACAAACAACTCATTTACGTTACATTAACATTACAAATGAACCAAACAGAATGACCTTACTTTACTAACAGATCAAGACCCACCAATCACGACCAACCTATGCCACTTGAGTCTTGCAGCCAACAACATCACAGCAGAACTGACCAATCAGTTTATACAAACTGGACTTAGAACATCCAACTGACAACAACTATTCACTTGACTCTGATGATGACTTCCGCTCAGGTAGTTGAAATGTCAGTCACCACTACCAACAACAGTCCTTCTCAGGACTACACTCACCCAGATGATCAAAGCACACTATGACATTTTCCCGGGATTCAAACCATTTACTGGTTGACATGGATGTTCAGATAAAGTGTTGATACTCACACAAAAGGAAATACTAGGAGTGGAATTGATCGCACAATTTTAGCTTTCCAAGACTTTGGAAAGTCATAAAAGTAGCATACAAGAGCAGCTAAAATGTACATCACAACTGAGTACAGGATCAGAGAACCAATAAATTTCTTCCTGAGGTTTTCCGTTCTTTGCTGACTGGACTGCAATGCTTTGATATCCTGAGAAGAGATAGAAGAAATGAATATCACAGGAATTTCAGAAGGTTTTGAAATATATAGACAGGTAAAAATAAAGAACTGACTCGTTGTTTTGGTAATATTGTGACACCATTGCCAATGTAACTAAGACAAAACATCTGATGCATTCATGAAGTTGAATGCTCCATGATTGCAAGAAATTGTAGGAATACTTTTGGCTGTATGGAATCTAATTGCACACTGAAGCTTATTAAAAATTGCTTAATAAGGACAATGTTTCCATATCAAGCAATCAAAATTGTTAACACAAATTTCATTTCTAATTTGACCTATTTTATTTTTTTCAACCATAGAATAATAGCATCGTGTGTCAGTTATAAGAAGCCTATGGAAATCATTATTATTCTTCAGAGTTAGCAGTACAAACTCCTCCCAAAAACATTAAAGGCAATAATTAATTATTCAATAAAACAAAATTATTCATTTTGTTATGTTATCTTTAAAAGAGCCTCTGCTTGTTCCAAAATTTCTTCCAGTGTTAACTGAAGAAAGATAAAACTCGACTTATCTAACAAGTAATGTCTGTTCAAGTTAAAATAGTTGTGAAATCTGTTGGCTAACGTAAAGAAATTTTTGAAAAATTTAACTCAGCCATATTTGCGGTTTGTCGATCATTTATGATCATATTCTCATATAGCAAAAATAACAGTTTGATTATAATACTATTACTAGCTACTATATTGATAAAACCTTTCTACAAATTTTTCACGCCGATGGTGAAATTTCCATAGCTTGATCATTTATCCAAAAATTGTGAATTACCCTAAAAACGATTTAGCCGTCATAAATTACAATTAAAATTTCACTTTTGCATAAGCCTCACCTTCTCCAGTAATTCTAACACTTCTCCGAGCGATTCCTTTTTCTGCCAAGAAAAGAAAGTAAAGTTTTACTACGATCGTGGTTAGTGTTCAGATGCAACAGCTAGGATCCACAGAGTTGTTTCCTGCTTTGACACTGCTGAGAGAATCCGCGATCGAGACCAAGAAGCCAAATCAACTGCACTTACCCTCCACCTGGAGAAAATAAGACCCATGACGGAGCCTATTCACAATCGTGATGCTTCGAGGGCCGCTACTTCCTCTCCATACCCTCTGATCAGGAAATGGACTCAAGACAGATCACGGCGGGATTTGCGGCGTTGAAACACATCATCTGCTCATGCGCTATCAACTCTTCCCGTCCCCGTCGGAACCCGTTGGGAACCCTGTTGAGGTAAAATTTAGACTGGACTGTCAGGTGGACTTTGATTAAGAGTGGACAGGAATGACTGCACTCTCATCTTAAAACGACCTGTATTATGTCATAATAGCAAAAGCAGGCTTCAAATGGGCGCAGAACATTAAAAAACACTGATTGAGGAGATACAGATGTGTATAATGGATAACAGCTTACGGTGCCACAATGGAGACAGAGGAGATTCAAAATGATGGTGATGATCTTAAGATATTAAGAGGAAAAAAGGGGAATTCATAGGAATGTGAAAAACATCAAAACAAAATAATTTTCTCTCTTCCCAGTGACTTGTCACCTGTATTATTGCCAAACATCCACAAAGCCAACTGATGGCATCCACCTGGTAAAATCGAGTGTGAGGGTGAAAAGCACAATTGTAGCTAGGGAGCAACAAAACAGTGGTCTGTGAACAGGCTAGACTAAATGGTTTGACTCTGTACCCTTCAGGATTGTTCATACCAAGGAGCCTGTGAGGGGGAGGGGACTTCATAACACTTTGCATAGGATAAGACTGAACAGATGATGCCTTTAAATCCGAAATAACAATAAACAACCTTAGCACCAAACCAGAATTGTCTATTCATAATGCAGACTAGTAAATGGATAACAGGAAAAAAAATTATTACAATAATTATCATCTTTATTGAGTAATTAATTGGAGGCAAGGTGAAAAAACTTCCCTTTCAATTTTCTCTGTACAATTACAATAAAACAAACAAACATCAAAAGATGCTCACAGGATAATCTAAGCAAAAAAGGGCCTCAAGATTTTCCACAAAAATCCTGTATCTAGCAATTTTTTGTCTTCTTCTCTCCTCTAAAAGAGATGCTTAAAGCCAATGGAAAATTTAATTTTAATGATCAATTAAGGATTAAGGAGGATAAATTCACAAATCAACATAGATTATCTGCAAAGGTATAATTCTAGAGAGCACCACCTAAAGACAACCTTGAATTGTAGAGTAGATAGCCAATTAAATATACAGCTTCATAGATACTTTATTATACACAAGTTATAAGATTAAAATAACTAATTCTCATTTTTGAGTGTCTTCTTTTCTAACATTCCTCCCCATCAAATGAATATCTCATGATATCAAAATTCCATTTTTCTCTTCTTTACCAAACTACATAACAAAAAAGATACCTTGAATTTATGACTGTAAAGGGGTATTAAAGGAGACCCATAAAAATGTTATCCCTAAAGGCTGTTCCATAAATGTTTCTGGTCCTTAACATAAACCCGATTTTATACAAAAAATAGACTATGTAATAACCTACTACCAACCAGCTGTTGATAATCTTAACTATATTTCTCATAAAAAATATTTTAGAATGTGATGTTTGTTTCCATCAAAAAAACCTAAATATTTTCAGCCAGCATCAATGACAGCATTAGACACTTCCTTCTTTATCAAGTATTCAGTATATACCACACAAATGAATAGTTCTTTTCATGCATGCTGATTGGCTAGTTTGGGGGTGAATGGCAAGTACTATTCACCTCCAAGAAGCTGGTGAGACAAAATCATGCATCGAGGTTCATTTCCAACCTTTCTTTCATATATTGAAAGAGACAAACTAGTATTTTGGTATATGTGTGGTATATACTAAAATAATTATTCATTTCAGTGTCATTGAAAGTGGTGGATATTTACCTTGCCACTTTGTGGCCAGGTAAATACCCACCACTATTCACCTCCATTTGGTAAATAATTGTTAATTATTCTAAAGGAAGTGCCTCTAAAATGCACAATGCTTCTGACCAGTTTATCAGGCTTTACTTGAAGGTTTATGTGTGATCATTAGCTGCAAGCTTAGCTGATTTCTGAATCCTTTAACCCCCATAAGTGACCAAGACAGAATTTCTCCTTGCAATATTTAAACAATATCAAGACAACAAATGATGAGAATCAACAGAAAAAAAGTCAACAAGGGATTATCAGTGAACTCAAAGCCTGTCACTTAAGCAAGATTCTAGCTTTCATGTAAAGCAGTGTCTGTAATCAGCTAAACCTCTGATTTTGAAGTTCTCTTTCAGTGGCAAACTTCTAGTTACATTTTATAATTGGTTCACCAAATGAGATGTCTTGAATCAAAGACAAGCTTCCACATAGTTTCCTGGAAAGAGACCAGTAACGCCACTTTCTGTGACACCCTCAAACCAACCATCATCGTTTTTCTTGACAACATAAATGATCACTCCTTCGTCGAATGTGAGTTCATCATCTCTCTGCTGAGCATAGCTGTACAGGGACACCACTGAAAGAATGAAAAACAGCAATAATGTACACAACACTTGATGTGTTGTCAACTATGATCTACCAAAATACTTAAGACAGTTGAACTGCTGTGGTGCATTTTAAAAGCTCAACTCTCAGGTGTTAGCTCTTTGTGTGAGTAAACAAGAGAATTGCAGGTTTTATGCATGTTTAATCATTGGAATACAGAGTAGAACTACAGTGCATGAGATTAAGCATAGCTAGAGATGATTCATACAAACGATAATTGATCAGCATCTAATTTCTCCTAACAACATCACAGCTGAATCAAAATTAAGGCTATAAGAATATAGGGAATGCCCACCAAGTAAAGAATCTTTTTATTGTTAAACAAATTCTCCTAGTCAGTACCTTAGAAATTGAAAGGAACAGTATAGAGAACATGCATACTGATGTTAGAGTGTAAAGGATTCAAAATGTCCTGAATCAGCATTGTTTACTCAGTTCCATTCACTTAACATACCTTTCTCAATATAGTTATCAGGAACACCAGACTGTCCCTCCACTGGTGGGGGTGGCACTTGATACAAATCTTCTGGTGGTGCAGGCATGGGAAGGGATGATGGGGCCTGGTAAAAGTCATCTTCAGAGGGTGGGGGTGGGGGCAAACCCATTGCATCTGAATATCAAGAAAACAGTATAATTTATGAACTTTATAAGATTTGACTTTGAAAAACAAAGAGTTTGGAGCACTGATAAGGCTTTAAACTTTCAGTTGACAAGACTGCTTCCTTACCAACCACAGATTCATAAGTGCTCTCTCCATCAACTTCTGATGGGGGAATCAAATCTGAAATGACAATAAGGAAAGCCATAACTAAGAAACTCTCTGAACAAGATCTAATCTTTAAGTGTAAAGAATGCCATGACTTTTACTGAACCAGTACCATCCCTCTTCATTTACACTTGCTTCTGTTTAACAAGAGAGGGAGTCAGTTCAAAACAGTTATGTTTGTTTAGCGCGCCCTTTCTTTGTTTAAATAAAACTGCGGCAGTCCTTCACGTTAGCGTTCGACAGGAGCGTTTTCGTATAAACTTTTGGCGATGTCAACGTATCTAACTCTCAAAATGGCTTTGCCTTTTCCCGAGTTGAAAAAGAGAAGGAAAAAAAAGACATTTCTTAAAAAAACCTTGCCGACCGCCTGACTGCGAGTCCAGTGCCTAACCGACTGTGCTACATGAACATTCAATAACAAGACTTAACTTTTATCGTTAAATAAAACTGCGGCAGGCCTTTCACGTTAGCGTTCGACAGGAGTGTTTTCGTATAAACTTTTGGCTATGTCAACGTATCTTTGGTTTTGTCTTCAATTCTGCCGTAGCGCGAGTTTGTTCAAGGATATTTTACGTTTGCTAAACAGTGTTTTAAACTCAAAACAAAAAACATGCTCTTTCTTTAAGCTGGTTATGAATATGCAAGTTCTCGGGGGCTGTATTGTTTTGATGAAACAAAAGGCTTCTTTTGTTTCGGCTTCATTCAATGAAAGCCGCTACGAAATTCAAGGTTTTTTGCATACGTTATTTCTCGAAAACGAAGCACAAACCAGCGAAAAAAAAAACCAAAACAGTGTATATCGAGTAAAACTAAGTCCACATGCCAAAATTCAACTACTTCTGAACACTTTCAAAAATGGCCGAAAAATCAAGGGGTCGTTCTTGCTCTGAGCCTTTCATTTATAAAATAATTCAAATAGTACGTGCGCTCTGATTGGCCATAAAACCATTTTACATGAGCGTATGTAAACACGGTTTTTGTTCCTCTTTCATTAGTTATTTTATAAAAGAAATGTAAAATGGTTTCCGTGTTTACATAGCCTGATGTAAACACGAGGGAGGTTGGGAAAACACTCGATAAGCTGGAAACCACTCCGCTTCGCGTTGTGGTTTCCTACGCTTATCTCATGTTCTCCCAACCTCCAGCGTGTTTACATCAGGCTGTGTAAACACGGAAACCATTTTACATTTCTTCATTAAAGCGATTTTTCCCAGTTATTATCTGATATATAAAATGAGATAGAAGTTGTCCTCAAATAAATGACACACTGAAAACTCTAAAGAAAAATTAATGCAAAAGCAATGTTAAATCAAGTAAATGCAGTTCTGTAAAAATATATTTACCTGGTGGAGGAAGGTTCATTGCACCACCATGTGCATTCAAAGCTGGAGGAGGGGGTGGGGTAGGTACTTGTCCTCCCATACTGGGGTAGGGAGGAGGGGATACAAAACCAGGGAGTGGTGGTGGAGGTGGTATGCCAGTGGGTGATGGAACAGAAGGCATTCCTGGGGGTGGAGGGGGTGGGGGGACTATGGCACCATCACCTGGCAATGATGGAGTAGCAGGTGGAACAGGCACAGAAGGAGGAGGGGTTGGACCTAGTTCTGAGGAGGGAACAGAAGGAGGCATTGGTGGAGGAACAGGAGGAGGTGGAGGCTTAATAAGTGGTGCTCTTCTCGTTGTCCCTGCAACTGGTTGGCGCTGGCTCCCTCTGTTTGCAGCTTGTTGCTGTTGTGGCTTCACTTTCTTGCTGCTTTGACGACGCCGGCTATCTTGACGATCACTTGTCTTGACTCCATGCCCTGCAAAAGACAAAGCTCTTCAAACATTTCTGACACACAAATTTGATTAAGCAGAGAACTAGGCATTTGACAATTCCAAGATGGAAAATTCAAGCAAAAAAGGTGGGCCAAAAACATGAATTGTCACATTCACTTATTCATAGAGTTTTCCCTTTTTTTATACAGATTAAAGACTGTCCAACGAATCTGCCAAAAACCAAAATAAAAGCCTCTAAATTTTTATGCCAAATTGTACTTAAGGTTAATTTTACAAAAAACTATTTACCTAATTGATCAAGCAGGGAATAATCAGTTGTTCTTCTGCTGTATCTGACAGGCTTCTCTTGCTCAGCTGGGGCTATGATTCTGTGAGTGCGTCCAGTTGATTTGCTTGATGCTAACACACCTATCTCCCTTCGAGCCACTTTCTCTTTGTGAATGTCAACAGTCTAACAAGACCAATACAATGGTTGGTTAAAATCACAAGGGCATAGCTAGGGGGTCCTGGGATGCCTGTGATTTCCCCTTTGTGAGTTAGACAAACAACCAATAATATTCAGGTGGAAAAAACTGTTGCATACCCTCTGCTTGACACAGTGTAATCCCCCTTTTAAAAAATCTTGGCTATGCCCCTGAATTACTGGTAATAATTGACTGTACCATAAGAATTTCAAACATAGACCATAAACCATGCCCCCAATTACCATGCCTTAGGCATGATTTTAACTGTGAATCAAAAGACAACACAGCCCTAAAAAGTTTGCCCATATGTAATCACTGTAGTGGATAGGTAAGATGCTTTCAGGCTTTCAGAACCAAGGTGTCTTACAGGAGTTATAACTACACAAGCCATGAACTCACAGGGTTTTAGAAGCCTATAACTTATTTGATAAAGCCTAAAATAAAACAGTAAATAAACAGGATACCCGTAACTGGATAAGCTTTGTGTCATAAGATTTTTTAATTTCTTGTTCCCCACTTTTGTATCCTTTTAAAGAGTTCTACAAATTTTTTATTTTCTTTAGTACATTTTTGTACACGTGATAGTGTTGATGTTGAATGATCTAACATTGAGTTGAACCTAAGATTGTTGAAGAGAGAGCACTGTAAAGAAATTTGCCTCCACTCTTCAAGAAACCTTTGCAATATAGTCAGAAATGTTCTGAACTTCTTTGGAAATTTTCTAAATTCTACGGATATGTTCAGGTTCAATCCAAGAACATACTGTGGGTGCCATATAAAATCCAGTGTCTTTAGAAAAAAATTTGGCAGGTATCAAAAAGAGGTTTTTCAATCATCATTCATGTTTATCCACTGAAGAAGGATGTTACTTTGATGGTAATCCTCTCTTTCCACAGGAAAAAGTTGCCAAATAAAAAATAAAATTTAAATAAAGTTTATCACATACCTTTTAAAAATGAATAATTCTAAGCTGGTTTAAATTCACATTACAAGTAATTAATTGGTATGAAGAGGTCACTTTCACTGTAATGGACATAGTTTTGCATCTTGAAGCAACATCAGTTCAACTTTATTTACATTTCGTGGTGTGTTCACTCCGGTTTTGATTTACTGACAAACCTGTAGGTATATTTAACATACCTCCGATATATGATTTATCCGCGACTCCATTTCCTGTAACTTCAAAACTTGTTGATCTAACAGGCCAAGCATGTTCATAGCTAAGGAATTTATCTGATAAGCTACACTGGCCAGGGACTGCGTCGCGAATTGTTTCGTCTCGTCGAGAACAGCCCTTGACTCCTCGAGCGCTTTCGCCCTGTCTCCGCCCGATTTAAACCGATTGTTTGTCTCCAGATATTTCTTTTCGCAGTATTCTGCTACCTTAGCTAGATTTTCATGGCCATCTCTCAATGCTTGTCGTCCTTCGGGGATTTCTTTCTCAATCAGTGAGAGAAGTAAATTTTCAACCTCCGCCATCTTGGAATAAATTTAAAGCATGCTGGGTACATTAAAGAAAGGGGTGTGTCCAAAGAAATATTCCCACGAGACAAAATATTTCATCGTTGTTGTGGCTTTTTGTTGGCGTTGTTTGGTTCTCTATTTTGTTCTGTTTTTGTTTTTGTTTTTGTTTTTGTTTTTTTTTGGGGGGGGGGAGGAAGGGGTCCTTTGCTTTGTATTTGTTTTAGTTTCTTTTCTTTTCTTTTCAGTTTTTCAGTTTTTTTGCCAGAATGTTTCAGTTGAAGGGAAACCCAGTCCTGATCCGAAGTGAAGATTTTAGCCCGGCGATCTAGAGAGAAAGCGGTTTTTGTCAGTCATGATGCACACTCGAAGAAAAGAAATCCCAAAGGTGAGTTGACCTTGTTAAAAATAATTGCCTGTCAATTTACATCATGTCGAAAAATTTCCACCTCGAGATTTTTAGATCTCGTAAACGAAGACTTTTTGTGGTCCAGCTTCCACGAATCTTCTACGTCACAAGTAAATGATCTGAAATACCAATCAGAAAGATCACAGTTGCCACATCGGTAAGGATTTCTCGGATGATGATTTATTTTCCGAGTAGGTACTTGTGTCTTTCAGTTTATTTTCTCATTGAGAACCTCTCATATTTGGTGTCTCAATGCTTCCCTCAAAAAACATTTTCAGTCGAACTGAAAGTAGTATTCAGTTTATTAGTATTAAAATTACATGGATTTTACTCATGAGCAAAGAAGTTAAAAGGTGAACGGTAAAAAGATAAAAAAAAATTTAAAAAATTAATAAAAAAGTGTTACAAAATATGCGTTGCTGTTTTCGTTTTCTAATTTGAATATATTTTTTTTCTCGCGTGTCCTCACTCTGTAAACAAAATCTTTCAAAACTTTCAAACAGATTGTGTGTTTGTCATGTTATTTCAAAATTAAAAAAAGATATAGGATTGAAAAGCTTTAAAATCTTTCCTTTCTACCGTCGAGATTTTTCGATTCTTTTCAGGCCCCTATCTGTGGTTACCGTCAACAAGAGGGGAGCCATAATAAGTTAATACTTAAAAAGTTTCAGAAAAAAAGCTTTAAAAAAACCAAGATTAAAAAAAGCCTTGATCACTCAGAAGTACACAATCATAAATTATCACGTGACCTCCACCACTTGCCCAGGGCCACTCCGCCGGTTGACAACACCACAAGCAGACCCCCAAGCAAAGTAAGGAGGCTTGGCTTATGTCCAAAGATAGCGTAGTCAAATAAAAAGGCCAACAGGATGTCTACATTCCTCATCAGCGCTGCCGGGGCTGCTTTCTCCAACTGAAGACCCCGGTTCAAGCAGAAACTTCCGAATACTCCACAGAGAGCTGCAGAAAAAAATAAGATCTGTGTTCAAGTGCAAATTTTAAAAGATTATGCAAAGACAACTCCAGAACAAAAATAGAATTTCATGCAATCACTTGTCTCACAAAATAACACAATGAACTACCATCTCATCTAGAATGTGGTAATATTCCTGGCTGTTTATGCTACAGCCTGTTTCAGCCGCCTAACCACACATTAAAACGGAGTGCAACAACCGCCTGGCCGTGGAAGGTCTGGGTACGAGACGGAAAACGGCGCGGTATTAGTGGCGGGTGAAAAAGGTACTATTGCGTCGTTTACGATCGCGCTTCGTTAACTGAACGTCTGGAACAGGCTATTTATGGTTTAGAAAACTTAATAGCCTCCATAGATAACGAGCCATAAAGCCCAGAAGGCTTAACTTATCTAAACTGTTCTTAAGAATCATTATTTCTTCCTTACTGATCTGGAACGAGAAAGCATCCCTACCTACTCCAATAAGGAACCACCTTGTCGTCCCGCAATCCGGAATAACAGGTTTTTGAAAAACAAACATGGTCAAACCAGATAGGAGTGCACTGCACCAGCCAAAGTAGAAGACATTGGTGTAGAAGCTCACAGAACCACCAACTTTACGGACCATAACGAACGTCAATGATTGGACGACAGCTCCGGACAGTGCCACAGCATAACCAATCAGACGGGACGACTCGGTCACGTGGCTTGATAGATTTGCTACATTAAAAAAAAATAGAGTGAAGGTTTTGTAATTGTATTTTCTAAAAAATAATCGTGTTTGACTTCGAGTTAATGAATACTCCGATGTAAGTTTTGGCTGTGTCAATCCCAAAGAGTTAAAAAATCTTAAAAGGTTTTGATAAAATCCATTCTACACGACCTTAATGCATTTTGATGGTTCTTACTAATGATATTTCAAAGGACAGACACATAAATGACATCACTATTAATAGAATTGTGCTTTTTTTTCTCGCATAAAACAAAAATATTCCTTGTTGCCGTGGGTCTGTGGATAGATTATACATGTTAAAAAAAGTGGTAGGAACATGAGCGACACACTCGGTTCCGCCTCGTGTGCCATATTTTTTTCTCTTTCCACGTTTTGACGTCATCTGTGACCTATTACTGAACAGACCCTCGGCATATCGAATCAATTTGACAATTTTGTGACGACAAAAATCTAACCGTAATCATAGACGGCACATACTTTGTTAAACGTCGTGATAAAGCGACTAGATCTAAAAATTTCACTAAAATGGAAATACTTGGTCCTTGAAATAAATATCAATATAAGGTATTTTTTTTTCTTTTTTTTCTGTTTGAGGTAGGGAAAACAAAAAGAACACTGAAAATTAATGATGCATATCTATTCAAATTACCTGAAGAGCCGAAGAGAAATGTTGGTTTCGTTAGAAGGACCACTCCACCCATACATACAAAGGTCGCTATTGCGTCAAAAATATGCCAAGATTCTTTTAGGAAAACGTAGGCAACCAGAGCGGTGAAAATTGGGGTTGTCGATATACAAACAGTTGCGTCTCCTAACGGTAGCTTGGTGAACGATCCGTAAATGCAAGAGACAGAAGCAAAATTCACTGCGCCGAAGCATACGAGGAATGGTCTGTGTTCCCTCTCGCCCAACAAGTCTGCCCGCGCCCAGATGGCACCAGGAACAACAAGAACGGTTTGGATCACAAGGCGGAAGAAGACGATTTCAAACGCTGGGATCGACGTGTTGGAAAGCTTCACAAAAAGCGATGCTATCGCGAACAGGACGCCAGATGCTGTGGTGAGTATAAGACCCAGACCAGACTTGCAACAAGGAAGACGACGAGAGGATGAGGGTTGTCGAAGATTCCACAAAGGGAGCCTTTCCGCCAGGCGATTTCTCCAGCAATGGCTGACGATTTCTTTGGGAGACGTGAAATTGCGGAAGCTCTCGCTATCCCTCTCTAACAAGACGTGCTCGTCTGTTTCTTCGTCGATACTGCCAAGACGCCACACTCTTTTAGGCGGAGCGTCATCTAGATTTTGATAACTACTAAGGCTATTTCGCCAAAAAGCAGCAGAAAATGGCGAGCTCATTTTCTATCGCTTTCTGATTTCTTTGTTCTCCGCCGACTGATAAATTACTTTTATATAGCAAAAAGGAAGCCAGCTAAAGGTGAAGTAAAGGAATAAACGTCATTGACGGTGAATTTTATGTGGGTCGCTATGGAAAAATTCGACAGTTCAGCGGTTTCGTCGTTAGCTCGTTTTCCGACGTTTTCACGGATTTGGCCTTCGATCCCTCCGAGAGGTCTCATTGAAGGAGGAACGCTAGCTCACTACCCGAACAGCGGCTACTAATCTAGGTTAGCTTCGTCAGCGTGCGGCCAAAACGGTGAAAACCTAGGCCCAATATGGGTACAAGTGACATCAGTTGTTGATAATATGATACATAAAGCTATTCGACTGGTCAATGAGATAAGATAAAAAAAATAACTGAAAAGGTATAAATCATGCTTAGGAATGGATGTTTTTGGAAAGGATGTTTTGTCTCGACGTTATAAAATCCAGCAATTAACCTTGTGAACAGCGAATTGTGGCGTTTTGCAGTAATTTATTTCTTTCAGTAAAATGGTCGCAATTTATTTTCATATCTTCCCATGGCATCCAAACCGAAGCGAACCAACCCGCGGGACTAACCTTTGCCAGCGCCATTCAAAGCTCTTGTAAGAAATCGAGGCGATTGGTCAGCCAGTCGGGAAAACATGGGCGACCAAGTCGTCATTGGTGTCTAGTCTTTATTTGATTGGTTAAGAAGGAAGCGCAAGTCTGCTTAACCAATCACAGACGGATGAAAAGCACAACCAACACAATCCCCGATAAAGCTGGTTTTCCTTTGAGTAGTTCAAATTTTTGCCTTGGGTTTGCATGGCGTTTATTAAACATCTTGAAGAGTAGCGTATATTTACATTGCAAGGTTACTCAATGTTAACCACTTGTATATAACAATTTTAAAAAATTTCTTTCCTTTAAATGTAAAATTGTCCTTTCTTTTCTGCGATTTTACTTATTCGTAAATGAGATTGAAAAAAAATTCTTAGAGCTACATAACAATGTTCAAACCATTTGATTAAAACAAACTTGGCCGAATCGACTCAATTTGAGTGTATTGATCAACCCTCCTATATATGGTAGCATTCGGCTACATTTGACAAACATGTTTTTGCTGTATATGCAGCCATGTCTATTTGAACAAGTCTGTAACTTATCTTGTTTCAGCGTAGATATAAAGTGTATAAATAAACCGACCATTCAAATGCAGAACCTTACTTGCATTTTCTCCCGGTTATTAAAACTTGATAGAGCCACTGAAATCACCATCTGGAACTTTTCCTTTGCCATTATTTGCATGCCCAAATATACAGGATTTTTTCCGTAACACAGACAATTATGCGAGTAAAAGATGTTGCTGTCTGTCGTCACAGACAAACTTCCACATAATTTCCTGGAAAGAGGCCACTTGCTCCATTTTCCATGACACCCTCGAACCAACCGTTATCATGTTTCTTGACGACGTAAATGATCTTTCCTTCTTGAAATGTAAGCTCGTCGTCTCTTTCTTTAACATATTCATACAAGGTCACCACTGAAAGCAAGAAAACAAATGGCTTTTATAATCAACATATTCTGACCAAACCCTGAGCATCGATACTTAGCATGGGAGATCCAGGAATCATTGATGTGGAAGGGGGGGTTGAGTCCAAACACATATTTTTTTAAATACTGGGGCTGAAATAAGCTAAGAAACATTTCACGATCATCAAATTTTAGAAACATGAAGTTAAGAAGTAGTATGCGATCCTGGCGTTGCAAGAATTTTGATTTAAATACCCAAACGGGATTGATGGGAGGGGAGGGGGGAGAAATTGAACTCCCCGGACCCATCACCTAGATATGTATCCGCCTAGGTACTGTTAATCCTGAAATACACGATTGCTTGCGAACAAACACCCCTTCGAATAAGCACCCCTCCTATCGACCAATTTTAACCGACAAGTGACCGCGTTAAGTGCGCTAATGCGCTATAAATCCGAGGTTTACGGTATAAAAAGTCGATTACGCCGAAAAAAAAATCTACCTACCTTTTTCTATGTAGTTTTTAGGGATGCAAGAGGTCCCTTTTCCTGTTAGCACAGAGGGAACCTGGTACAAATCCTCTTGTGGCACGGGCATTGGTAGTGATGATGGGGATTGGTAGTATTCTTCCTCAGAGGGAGGGAGTGAGGAGGCTTGACTACCTTCGCCTGATTATGATTAAAGAAATTAAAAATGTCAGTCTGTAAGTTCTTATACTAACAAGAACGATACAAATTACTGATACAACAATTTACTAATTTTTCGTTTACCTGGTTTGGATAGCTTAGCATTGGCACCATCACTTGGCAAAGGAGGGGGTGGTGGTGGGGCAGGAATTGATCCTCCTGAGCTAGGGGGAGTCGGTGGGGATGGTACAACAGCAGGTGTTGGTGGTGGGGGAACTGCTCCTCCCATGGCAGGAGGTGGTGGTGGGGGAGGAGGAACTGTGCCTAATTTACCAGGGGGTGCTCTTGGAGAAGGAATTGCTCCTCCTACACCAGGAGGTGGTGGTGGGCGAGGTACTGATCCCCCTACGGCTGGTGGGGGTGGTATGGCTCCTCCAGTACCAGGAGGCAGAGGTGGAGATGCAACTGCTCCTCCAAGACCAGGAAGTGGTGGTGGGGGTGGTATTGATCCTCCAATACCAGGGGGTGGTGGTGGGGGCGGTATTGATCCTCCAATACCAGGGGGTGGTGGTGGGGATGGTACTGATCCTCCAATACTGGGGGGAGGTGGTGGGGGAGGTACTGATCCCCCTATACCAGGGGCTGGTGGTGGGGGAGGTACTGTGCCTCCAATGCCAGGAGGTGGTGGGGGAGCAGGTACCCCTGTTGGGAGTGGTGGTGGAGGAGGGATCCCAGCACCATTATCTGCTGGCAATGCAGTCACCTGGTTTGCCACCAAGGGGGGAGAGGGCAGATCTGAGTCTAAGGAGGGTACAGAAGGTGGAGGTACAGGAGGGGGTGGGGGATTTGTCAATTGTGCTCTCCTTGAACTTCCTCTGCCTCCTTTTTTTTTGCTACTTTGTTGACTTTCTTGAGATCTGCTCTTTGTCTTGGCACCATTCCCTGCAAAAACATTAGCACCCAAATAGATGGCTTTGTTGAGTAAGCTGGTGAAACAACTGTGTGATTAAAAAATCTGGCAGTGTTTGGTGGCATTAGGTGAAATTTTTTTGATATAAGAATGAATGATGCCAAGAAACTCATACATTAGTATAAATTCTGATGATCATAATTATTCTGGTTTCAATTTTTTTAAACAATCTGGTTAATTCTGAACATTTTAGCTAAACAGGTACCCATCTTAGCTCTCTTGAAATTCAATAACAAACACTCAACCTGAGAGCAGAATGTTGTTTTTGTGTATTGCCTTAGGTGACTGTCAGAACTGACTGCATTTCCTTTAAAACCTTTTTTTAGGTGTTCCTGTAACAGAAATGTCAAAAATTCACTCCACGCTCATTTTGAACATCAGAGCTTGAGACACAAGAGCTAACATGCATAACAATTAAGGTCATCTTTAACCAAGAGTTAGAGTGCGTGCATCTCTTTGATAACCAAAGTTATTTTACTGAAGTCTAATAACTCATGCTTGATAATTTCAGTAAGTTTCAAGTATTCACCTAAATTATCCAGACTGTGAAAATCAATTGGCATGCCCTCATAGTCATATGTTTCACGTTCCTCTTTTTCAGCTGGAGCCACTATTTTAGGTACCTTTTTCCTCGACTTGTTGGAACCAAGAGCGCCTATCTTAAGACGAGCCACTTTTTCTTTGTGAGCTTCAACACTCTAAATGCAAAACAATGAATATTTCCTACTTGTCATTCATTGATATAAAAATTTCATATTGAGTTGCCCCTTTGTCCCCAGAGAGTGACTAGCATCTAAATTCTCCTTACAATATCACCCCTGAATCACATATGAAGATCATGAGAATAAACAAAATGATCACCAACTAAAGCTTTTGATTGTTAAGCAAATTCTCCTTGTCAGCACCTTAAGAAATGTATAGAGAACAATATGGAGAATATGCATACCAGTGTTTGGGTTTAAGGTTCTATAAAGAGATCTTTGTCTATTAACCTGTAAGAATGACCAATTAGTAATTTCTCCTAACACATTAATGCACTGTGAGCGAAAAAGTTGTAGGAAGAGAGAAAAATATCAATTCTGAAGACATTGGTTGATTTAATGCTAAATTCTCACAGCTGAAATATGATAAATATAAGATTGATGGGAGGGAGAATTTCTATTTAGATCTTTGGATAGAATGGGTTTATTAAAGCCATCAAAACGTGACAATGATGTCAGACTCGCAAAGAGTGGAGTTCTGTCAATATTTGGTTAAGGAAGAAAATTAGAATCGCTGAAAGCATTTTTAAGAAATGTTTATTCAAGATCAGAGAACATGAATTGCTCTTGAAGGAATATTTATATTTGCTTCAGAAAAAGGGTCGCGATTTCTCTACATCGCAATCAAAATCATTGTTTTACTCCCAAAAGGATTTGTTTTCGAAAAGCTGAGAACGAAGCCGGGCCCCGGAAATGGCTAATTACTTCTCTCGATACGACAACGTTAGAACCCCCATAATTATTATTTAATATTAGTAGTTCCCACATGCTTCGTAGGAAGTAATAATTTGAAGGAATAGTTGTGTAAAGCTTTAAGAGAAACTTTCGTGCGCGCGCGTGGAATTCTAAAAAAATCACACACAAACCAACCTGTCCAAAGAGATGAACCGTTGCCTCCAGTCCCTCCACCTTTAAAGCTTGATTATCCATCAAATTCAACATGCTGAGGGCTAAAGAGTTTATCTGATAAGCCACGCTTGCTAGCGACTGTGTAGCGTACTTTTTCGTCTCTTCCAGAACAGCCCTTGTTTCTTCGAAAGCCTTTGCTTTATCTGAGCCCGGTAAAGCGTGATGCTTGTTTGCGTCTCGATATTTCTGTTCGCAGTAAGCTGCGACTTTGGCCAGATTTTCGTGCCCATCTTTCAAAGCCTGTCGCCCATCAGGAATTTCTTTCTCCATAAGAGACTGAATCAAGCTGTCTATCTCTTCCATTTTGGACTGCAGGACGTAACTTCCGTGGAATCTGCGTTAATTCACTACTAATTTCCTCAGAAAAAAGGAATTTCCTCCCCCACACGGAAAGACACTGGAGCTGTCTGTCTATGTCTCGTTCATGATATGCCAGAGAAAATATAAGAGGGTTGGCACTGTGATACAATCTTTAAAAGAAAAGGAGATTTGTTCTTGCCGATTAATAAAATATAGTCAAAATTCTAAGATATCATAGTAGCGTCGACAGTAGAAGAGATTAACAAATTGATGTATACAGCTAGCAGCTTAAGCACCGTATCAATTACCCTTGTGAGAAACATGAGTTGCCACCACGTATGAAAATTAAACCCGCCACATGACCTTCGACCTTCTAAATATGAAACTTGAATGAATAGAGCAGGCGGAAAATAAAAATTCGAATACACAAATTTAATAGTTGGTGTTGAATTTTTAACAAAATAAATAAATTTTGCAATTTATATAAGGTAATAAGACCCATGCGTGATTTCCACATAGGCAAGAGAGGGTATAGTAATTCTGCAGTTGGAAACAAATTTCCAGAAACGAATTGCCTTGTTGTGAATCAGATAATTTTCCAGCTTTGAGTCTCTCAAGTACTCTTTCTTTGCCCTTCTGAAATTGAATACTTCACTGTAAGAGCACCCAAAGGGTGCTCTTCAGTCTGCGCTTACAGAAGGTGTTGTGGCTTCCGCCGTGTGGTTTTGTCACACACTGTCTGTGGAACGTAAGTTACGTTCCCTCACTACCGAGTACCAACTATAGTCACCCTGACATTGCGTGACAGAAAGGAAGGTTGGTTGGAAAACTCAACATAGTTTAATTTGCGGATTCTTCGAGACTATATTTAAGAAAGAATTAGTTCTGCCTTCATACGATGTTATGTAACAGCCCTTGCGAACTTGATAGACCGGTCAATATTTTTCACCTGGGATGGGGTAGGAGGGTTTTGGGGAGTCCCACAATATTCTTGATGAACAGAGGGAAGATTAGTCGTCTTTGACATAGTGTAAAGCGGATCTTAAGAAAATGGACCGTCACTTTGGGGAGATCATTAGAATACTACAAAGCTTCTTGCAGGGATCAGGTAAATTTACTGCGACACAACCAAAATTCTCCAAACCCCTTCCCCCCAGATGATAAAAAAATAAATGGTAGATTACGAGGCTTCGCCAGTCTGAAAAATCAATATTATGGAAAAAAAACGACAACAACAACGAACAACTCTGAAATGTCTTATTATAAAAACTAACAAACTTGAAAAAGATATGACAAAATCTTGTAATCACAGGGATTATTTCCGCGGAGGAAACGTGTCAGCATTGCCTCATACCGTTTCAGATCGCTAACCGCATTACGATGATATCGGCTTTTTTTGTTCAGTTTAATTTTATTTCATCTGCAGCGAACCTTGAAGGATATTATGCATATGAATAGAGAGCACATAAACATGCCGGAACACAACGCTTTTGAAAAATTCCTAAAAGTTTCTCCGGATTCCTCATTACCCACAAGATCCCTTGCCAAGAGGCATAAGGCATTGACATCCATCTTAACCCCACTCTCTCGCATTGGTGTTGTGGGACATCTCTTTTCATCGTGTACTGTTACACAATTTTAACCTCGCTCTTTTCTTTCACATTTGGGCTCAACACTCCCATTGTCTTTTCCTGATGAGGTTGAGTTCTTCGCAAAACGAGCTGGAAGCTACAAAGAAAGTTTGCGAGAGTCCCTAGAGTTACAAATCAGATGCGAGTTTGCACTTATCTCAACAGTGGGTCTAATGATTACACACGCGAGGACCGGAGCGCGGGAGAAACCGCCTCGCTTGTTTCCTCTCTTAAGCATGCTTAACAAAGTCACCTCGCAAACTAAGTTCAGGTTAATCAGATTTTTTTTAATTTACCTGTAGCGTACACAGGAATAGGTTTATTATTTATAGGTTAATAAAATTATTAGGTGGAGCAATGAATCACAAATCTAGCTTAGTACAACAGATGGAACAATAACGAAACTACTCATCATAGCTGAACAAAACAGCATTGGATCACTATCTACGTAACGAGCTGTTGACAAGAGGGCTACAAAGCAAAGGAAAGAATATAACTATAAAAGCATTTTCTTCTCTGCCAGTATACAAGTTAACCCTTAACACACTAAGACCAATATTCATATTCTCCATACTCTTTTCTAGACATTTCCTTTGGTTCTGAAAAGGAGAATTTGTTTAACCATCAAAGCTTCTTAAGTTGGCAATTATTTCCTTAATTCTCGTGATCTTTAAAAAATGATTTTGCAGTATTATGGTGAGGAGAAATTTAACACTGGTCATTTTTAAGGCTTAGTTAACTAAACTGGCAACTATCGTCAGTCAAAACGTACAAGGGATACACTCAATTACTTAAATGCCCTGAGCAACCAAATTATTACATTACAAATTATGCCCTAAATACAGCTTATATCGACTCAATATACTATTTACAAATTCTGTTCGATAACACCGACAACGTATGCAGTTTCAGTTTCACTTTCACAAGCCTTACTGCTGCTGAAGCTGTTTTCTCTTGAAGCTACTTAGTAAATATTTATAGAAGGTAAAGTACCATCATTCTCGAGAAATCAGACCCACTTTTAGAATACTACCCACCCTTTATTCCCAGACCTAATAAGTAAGAAGTAGAGACACTCCTTCCCAAAAGTATTGTTGCAAATCGAGGCCTGAATTAGATCACCAGGTTTGCAAGATGACACTTTTGTAACAGTCTTTCTGACTGTTTCTTGTTATCTTCACAACACCCACAGAACCGGAAGTTGCTAGTGTGTTGAGTGAGACAATGATATTTGCAGGGAGAGGCTTTCTACCTGCCAAACACATCTTGAGATGCTGTGTAGCCCAAGTGGGCCATCCTTGTAATGGAGATGGCTAAAGATGATTAATGTTGTGATCTGCTCATAAAGAAAGCAATTGTGGCATTCATGACTACTAAGGTTATTACTTATTCTTATTTATATACTAGTCCACATGATATCTTTATCATGGGCAGCTGTTCTGAGGTTGACATCTTCAAATATTGCACAGATATGTTTCAGATCTGTGTTCCAGCCAAAAATTACACAAGACTTCAAAATCTCATTATGTCAAATTAATAGAGATGTGTATGCCATGATTGGTGAGAATTGAGATATAATGCAAATAGCCTTTACCTTAAATTCATGCACACATGCTTTGTTAAAGACTGTTACTAATTAAAGACTTTTTACTAATAGTAAAGATGCATGAAATAAACACTGCTGCCACATCAAGTTCTCCTTGTACTTCACAAGGAAATAATGGACAGTTTAGAAACAGAATTAAACAGTCTCCAAAGTTGCACAGTTTTTCCATGCACACCTTCAATTTTTGCCTTGTCCTTTTGGAGTTATACAAGGCACTTTGAAACAAAATTGATAGTCATGACCTCCTTACATGCCTACATATTAACTAAAAAATTCACTTCAACAATTTACTAAATTAAATCACTTCCTATGAGCCATCCCTTACAAAAGCCCACCTATGGATCATCGCATAGAGTGCAGAAACTTGAATTTGTTTCTACAATATTCACCTCAGTATTTTCTTACACTAGAGTAAATTTTTTTTCCCTTAATTTTGTGGTTAGTCTCACCATGAACAAAGGAATTTCCCCCAAAGGCTACCCCTAAAGAAAATTCCACACAGTAGTGTTCACAGGGCAAAACACTGTTTACACCATTTGCCCTTTTAGTGACACATAAAAGTAATCACTCTTAAAGAACAGACAGATTACAGAACTAGTGTTGAGGAGCTTTAACACAGACATTTTTGAGGGGTCAATGGCAACTAAAAGTTGAGGGTTTTTTTCCCTTGCACAAGCTGCAGATTGTTTATCTATTTATTTTTGGCAGGGGTTGTGTTCAAACTGCTAAGACTAGGCCTCTCCAACTGATTTATTAATTAAAAAAGCAAGCCATGAGAAGTTTGCATTCTCCTTCCACTTATATCCACATTGCCAAAAATATCTGTGCTGAAGTTCCCAACTGTCAACATGCAATTTTTTATATATAACTGATAAAATAACTTAAGGTAAGATACAACTGATATATTTGAGATTCACACAGTTATTCAAGTCCAGAGCTAAAAACTTCCATTTTAAAGAAGTTCAGGTCAGATACCCTGATTGTGTCAGTGATACAAATGGTGATGGTTGAGTCACAAAAAACAATTAGGACAAAAAAAAGTTGTCATGACTACAATGGACAAAGTCACACTTTACTGAACGTATATGCAATGATTAATTATCAATTAGCAAGCTTTTCAATGAAACCACCTTGAAGTTGGCTGTGTAAATTGCATGTCTAGTATATACACCTGTAGTTTCTCAGAAGAGTTGTTTGAGTGCTCTGTTTGAATCTATCTATTGATGTTTCCTCTCAGTTTGGAGTGATGAAATGTTTTATATCTAATTCACACACCCCTTTAAAAAAAACTTGATTTATGTGGGTTAAATGTAATAAAATAAGAAATCATTCACCTCAGTTTCAAATAACATACTCATTATGTAGTACAAAAACTAATAACAAAAGAAATTTACTGGTTAATTCTCTTTGAAGTTATATCCAAATACTGCCAAGTTTGCCCAAGCTCATAAAAGTCACACTAGGCAATTCATTTTAAAGAAAATTTAATTGTTTTCATGTGAATGGGAAAAGCTGGATCATAACAAAAGATCATTTTTTTTTGTTCCTAGTTTATCTTCTCTTTTTTGGATATCCTGGCCTAATCATCATTACATTTTTTGCCTTCTTTAGGCCATCATGGTTGCCTTGAATAACATCAGAGTCATTGCAGGGTGCAGCGACATCAACATGCTCAGATCTGATTTTCCATGATTGACAAATTCATTGTGGAGAAAAAAAATTTTGATTGGCAGCATGAGCTCAACCAGGAATATGGTGGCCATTGCTTACTACTATCAAACTATGAAAAAAGCAGCTAGGCTATCCATGCTATGAACAACTCATAACCAGTTGTGTTGCAATCCTCAGAGTTAAAAGTAATTGTATAGTTTTTCATCTAAACAGTACCCTGTTTTCCCACACCCCCCCCTAAACTAACCAACCTCTGAATGCAATGGTTTGACCATTATCTAATGTTGTCCACATTACTACAACTTATACTGCTCTTAATTAGCTCAAAGCTACTGATCATTATTATCATTGTAAGTGCTAATTACTTCTTAAAAGTACCTGAAAATATACCAAAACAACTCAATCACTGAAATGCCCATTAACATGCTCATCTCTGTCAACACTTGGAGGCAAAAGAGCCTTACAAACCGGACATTGTGGCACTTCTGGTTCCAGAACAGAAGGTGCAGAGGCTGCAGTCAGTGCAGGGGCATTTGGAGGAGGGGAAGTTGGATGCTGGGGCTCTGATGCAGAAAGGGGCATCTGAGTAGGGTACTGAGTGGGGTATTGAGTAGGGTACTGAGTAGGGTATAGGATAGGGACCTGAGGAGGGACCTGAGAAGGGACATGAGGAGAAGCCTGAGGAGGAACCGCAACTGGAGAGCTTTGAGGTCTTGGTTCGGGTTGGTGTTGGACGAGAACCCAAGGCTGAGGGGTGCCCGGAACTGGCCCTGAAGGAACAAGACGACTGATGATTCCATGCAAGGGTCCACGCTTTGGGAAGTTGGTAGGAACTGTGGAAGGTAACATAACAAAGAAAGGTCTTTGTATAAACATTGCCACAAGGATATGAAGTAAGGCTGGAAGAAACCTATGTTAGAGTGGCCATGGCCTAGTACTGCACTGAAAAGTTTTGCAGGTTGTTGTACATAGAGTTCTTTGTTGTCTACGCAATTCATCACTTACTTTGTTATAAAATGATTATGCATGGAAAAATGATACAAGATTTTGTGGATTCACCAGGCTTATACATTTGTTTGTCTTGATTGTCTCAAAAAAAAAAACAAAAAAAAAAATGGACTTGACATTATTTAGCAACATCAACACCAATGCATTGAAGAAAAGCACAATCAGGACCTAAAATTTTAAATAGAATTGGTCACAATAAACCAGTTTTCCTTTTGAATCTACTTCTGCATTTTTCAATTACCTTTCCATGAACTCAAACCAGAATAACTTAGAACTGTTTTGATGAAGATGTACACTAAGTCACACAAAATACCTTTGCACCCTAACATCAGAATGCATATTCTCCATACTGTTGTCTATGTTTCCTAGGTGCTGACTAAAGAATCTACTTAAAAATCAAGAGCTTCTTTAGTTGGTGATCAGTTCATTTATTCTTGTGGCCTCATTGTTTGATTCAGGGATGATACTGTAACAAGATATGATATGCTAGTCAGTCTAAAGGGTTGAAGGGTTGAATTGTGATAATACCTGATGTAGGAGTTTGTTCTCCTGCTGCTTGAGGTTGTGGTTGTTCTGTGGTTACCTCTGTGTCTTCAGATCTATTTTCCATCAGTCTGGATTCTGCTTCTACATGGAGGTCAACTTCTTTTTTCCATCTTTCCACTTCTCTTGAGAGCTCTTTGTTCTTCAGAACAAGCTTCTTCTCACTGGCCTCAAGTTCCTGGATCTTCATTCTTGCCTCCTCACCAAGTGTCTCTCTCTCTGCCTGTTCTTTGGAAAGTGCCTCTTGTGTGCTTTGAAGATTCTCTGCAGCATTTTGTATCTCTTCATCCTTCCTTTTCAATTCCTCTTGTAGGTTAACTATCTCTTGGATGACATTTTGTTTTTCCAGTTTTTCATCTTCCAAGATTCTCTCCAACTCAGCCACTTTTGCAAGCAGTTCTTGTACAACTGGGATTTGCTCAATCTGGTTGGTTTTCTGCAGCTCTGAACATTCAATTCCTGGAACTTGAACTTTCAACTCAGAAATCTCCAACATCAACTGGTTGAAAGAAAATTACAATTGATAAAATAACTCAAAGGTTAAGGATGATCTTCCCTGATATTGTTCTTTTCACCAAGAGGACTGAGGACTCTAATTCAGCATTTACCCTTCACACTCTAACATCAGGATACATACACTATACATCGTAATGTTTTTCATACAGTACTAATAAGGAGGACTTGTTTATAGATAAAGAATGTATTTCACTGGCAATCATTTCCTTTATTTTTATGACCCCACTAATATTGCAAGGGGAAACTAATAACTAAACTAGGATAGCAATAAAACAAACTTAAAAAATAAGACAGTATACTTTTGAATAGGAAGTAAAGAGAACATTACACTTTGCTCAGACAATATATTCATTGATGTGACAGTTAAATGGAAAAAAAACCCTGCCTTAAAAGCTACTAATCAAAAGGATGCTTATCATGTAATCTAGTAAGATGTATGTCTATCTCAGGAATAACTGAACAAAGGTCACAGTGGGTAAATGAAGTCACATTATTTCAGCCTGCTTGTGAGATATGAGATCATCAGCAAAAAATAGGAACCATCCTCTTATAAATAACAGTTGTAGTAATCACTAGTCTTTCCATTCTATTTAAAAATCAGTTTAAAGTAGATAAGGAAAAAATTGGTTTGTCAACATTTCTGAGAGTCTGGCTTAGAATTCTCTCTAACCAAATACCACATGAGGATTCTTGATCTTTCAGAATTAAAGATGAATTCTTGTTGTGTGAGAAAAGCAAAATAATAGTTTCTTTCTTCTTAGGGGCTAAACCTAGATTTAAATCTGGTGATTAAAGCTTATTTAGCAAAAACATTTTGCTGAGTCAACAACAAATTAAATTACTCTTACATCACTTGCCACCAATGAGTGAACAGAACCTTTATCATTAATTTAAACACCCACTCAATTTGTCAACATGTGTTCATTTCTAACCTTAACTTTGAACACCTTTAAAATATTATTCCTTTGAAATCATCTCATCTTAAATTTTTCTTTTGCCTATCACTTGTAAATATTATTCAGAACTGTTAGTTTATTTAGGGAAATATTAAATAGACTTCTTATCACTTGGTTTACACAGGTCTTGCATATTAAAGAATTCTTCCACTCTACAGTTAGTGAGGAGAAATTTGTTATCAATAATATTGGTGAGAACAACAACAACATACCTGATGTATTTGCTCATTCTTCTGTGACACTGTATTTTTTTCTTTCTCTAATGCTTTTCTTTCCTCGTCCAAAGCCTTCTGCAGCATGGCAACCTGAGTCTGCATCTCTGGTGGTGAGTTATCTTCTGACAATTGCACTGTTGAGCCCTTCATTCGTTTGTTCAACTGCGCTTGCAATCTGTGGCACTCCACAAATTTTCCCTTGAATGCTTCTTCTCCCATCTTGAGTCTCATGCGTAAATCTTCATTGGTTGCCCTCAGTTCTTCGAGTTGAAGACGCAGGTCATCTGATGGGACGCTTCCTTGGAAACTTGCAATGGTCCTCTTAAGCTCATTTCTTTCCCTCCACATTTCATCCATCTCCTTTTTTACTTTCAAGTATTTCTTTTCCAGATGAGAGTGAGCAGTCTTGAGTGCATGCATGGAAGCAGCCGAGTTTCTGGTTGATTGCACACTTGCCCCTTGAGTATCTGATAATGTTGTCTGGAGAGTCTCCTTATCTATCTTTAGTGCACTGACTTCAGCACTGACAGAACTTAGTTTGACTGAAGTTATTTGGGCCTTCTCCTCAGCAGATTGCAGCTGCTTCTTGCAGTGATCCAGCTCTTCACACAGCCCCCTCATTTCGGCATTTTTTCCCTCAAGCTGCTGACTCAGCTCCATGTTGGCCTCCAGCTGCTTTTGTACTTGAGCCTGGAGACTGGCTAGGTTGCGATCAGACTGAGAACACAGGGATTGATTTAAGGCCTTCTCTCCTTCCAGTTGGTCATGCAGCGCCCTGATTACAGACTCGTAGTCTTCCTCCAAAGCAGTAGCCTTGCCCTTTTCCTGAGCAAGCTGGGAGTTAGCATCTTCCAGTTCACACTCAAGTTGATGGATGAGCTCTTGCTTTTCTTTTACATCTCCTTGAAGCTTTTCCATTGTGTTGCCTAGCAACTCTGCTTCATGTGTTGCATCCCTTAATATTTCTGCTTTGGCTCTTTCCACTTCCTCAATCATTTGCTTGCAGTTTCCAACTTCCTCTCTTGCTCTTTCCAGTTCAGTTTGTTTATTCTTCAACTCAACATTCAATTCTCGCACTTTTTTGGTCAGACGCTCAGAATCTTCTTCAAGTTTTCTCTTAAGGACACCGTTCTCCTCTGTCATCTGTAACAGCTTCTCATCTAGTCTTCCATTTGCACTGTTAGCTTTCTCCAATTTCTCCTTTAATTCTGTGCATTCAGACTTTGCCCTTGTTTTGAACTCTGTTAAACGAGCCTTCAATGCATTGATTTCTTCATCTTTGTTTTTCAAGTCGTTCTGTAGTTTTTCAATCATCTGGCGATCGGCGGTCATACTCTCTAAGTATTGTTTCCTCTCCACTTCTAATTTTTCCGTGTTTTTCTCCACTTGAGAGCTCTGCGCACGTTCTTCCTCGACAATCTTCGTCAATTCCACAATCTTCCTGTTTGAATTTTCCTCTATTGTCTTCAGATCGTTGATTGTACTTTCAAGCGCTCTGTTCCTTTCTTGCGCTTCTTCCAAAGCGATGTTGGTCTGAGCATAAGTTTGCTCCAAGCTTGACGCTTTTTTCTCGATTTCTTTCAAACCGGATGTCAAATCTGCTTTCTGCAACTCTAACTCCATCACTTTCTCATTCGCCTTACTCAAATCTGCTAGCGTTGACTCTTTAGATGCTTTCAAAGCAGAAACCTCTTCCAAAGCGCGTACAAGCGATTCTTCCAAAATAGCCGTTTTGTTCTTGACAACCATAATTGATGTACCCTCGTCATCTTCCATTTCGCAACACTCGAGCTCTTCTTGTTCCATCGCGGGTTTGGTTTTAATCTGAAAGGGAACACTTGCCCCTCTTACATCTCCTGCATAGGTGACATAGCAGAACTGATAAAACTCTTCGTCGGCCTTCGGCAAATACCTCAGACGAAAAGTAACCTTGTTTACCACTGGTTTTCCTTGTTCGCCATTTTGAATATTTGGCTTTGGCGACCATTCGTACGTGTAGTGTTCACGAGAAGATTGCCATCCAACTTTGAACAACCCAATCCAATCCCTGGAGTGTGGTTTAACCGAAGTTTTTATCGTATATCGACATTCTATATCTCTGTCGGGCGGATAGCATTCGGAGACGTTGTTAAAAATAACGGCGGAAAATTCAGACTCCGAAGGCAACGAAATAACTTCGCATGTGTTGTCGCAGTCATTTGTAGAATCACCGAGATCAGTTTCGTTTTCGTGTGAACTGTCTGCCATTTCTTTACTTCTGGTGTTACACAACCGTTCGGGATTTATTAGAATTACCCGGACGATGACAAAACAGAAAGTCCCGTGAATATTTTCACGTCTCCTAACTGTACAAAGTGCAAGCGAAGCAAATAGTTATTGTGGGCTATGACGTAAGCCTTCGTGAACAATAGCCGAACAGGCGAGTAGGACGCGAATATTCCCGAACATTTGATACCCTCATGATTCGGCTCTTTGACTTTTATTTATCCAAAAGTCGGGATTTTTCCATTTTAGGATGTAGGCATTGCGTATCCTTCGAAGATGAAACGCAGATGTTGATCTTACATATATAATATGTAAATTTTTTTTCATGCTTTTTGAAGGCAACAGAGGAGAAGTAGAGGGCAAAAGCTGTTTTGATCTCTTGCACTTCAGTGCGTGGGCCGCCCAGTGCCGCAACTCATTCTAGAAACGTAACTACCAGCCACGCCGTGACGTTGTGACAAAAATAAATCTCTAACCTCTTCCCCTTAAGAAATATTTTATGCTCTGGGAGTGTTTAAGAAGTTTATCTCCTCCCGTTCCCGAGGTTACGAGTGAATTCCGGTTTTATAAAAATACACAGTCGTCATTAGTGTGACAGAAAATTATGAGGAAATTCCAAATAAAGATATGATTAAAACATAATTTAAGTTTTCCTTTTAGCTATAGCTTGAATTATTGATTTTCCCTTTTTATAAATTCAATGTAATCGTTTCTTTATTTTTGCGAATGGTCTTATATTCATTGCTAAATTGTATATGTTAAAAGTGTTATCCTAATCATGGTTAGTAAGGAGAAGTATTTATTTTCCATTATGTCAAACTGAGAGGTTACCATTTCTCATGCTTTTAATCCAATAGATAAAAAGGGGAAAAAAGAGAAAAAAGGAGCTGTATGTCAGTGTCACCCTTAATAGTTCTTGAATCATGATTTAAGATCTGTTTCTAACCCAGCTTCGCTGAGGCAAAGTTTCCGCTGATTCCAGCGAATTCAAAGTAACTTTCCTTAAATATGATAAAGCGGTCATTTACTTTTATCGTCTCAAACTTTTCGGTATCTCGGAGAAGTTTTTTCCTTTCGTATTTCGATGAAGGGGGAGATTTTACCATGTCCATTACAATTATTCAACCGATTTCTTTGAAAACGCAGCTGGCTTTTTGTCCCCATCTTCAGGAACTCTTAGGTCTTCTCTGATTCGAGTTGAGATTTTGAGGGATTATTGGGAGAGAAGCTTCTATTTTGGGATCGTTGGAATAAGAAATTAAGACAGATTACGTCAGCTAGTTGCTGAAGAGCACCTTGTACGTACGCCGGTTGGATAGCGGTAGGGTGGTGTTTGCCCTGCCCTGAACGAAAATAAGACTTGTGCCAAACTGCCCCACCCCATGGAGAAAAGGGGAAGTCCCATAATCATGTTATACAAATGAGGTAACCTCAACTTCGTTCACAGGGGCTCTACCCTTATCATTTTTAAAGGGGAAAGCACCGTCAGTTAAAATTTGTTTAACTTCTCACCACAGATTTACCCACCGAAAGCTTTTGGTTTCCCTTTGTGTGGTCCGCGAGAGATTGGGATATAGATCTATTCCCTCGGTCCTAGGTCTCCTAGGTCTGGATTCTGGAATAAACAAGATGGCGGGAAAAGCTGTGGAAGATCTCTCTGATGTGGAGTTGATGAATGAATTGAAGTCCTTGGGTTTAACACCTGGACCTATTACTCCAAACACTAGACGACTATTTGAAAAAAAGCTATCCAGAGCTCTGGGTTGTGACAATGTCGATAGCAGTCTCGAAAACAAGGAGGTTGGGTCGAACTTTGAAGTCAGTGAGAGTCAAATTGCAGAAAGTGATGATCGGACGCACAACGCTCCAAGTGTAACAGAGAGCCCAGCGATCTTTTATGGGGTTTGTTTCAATATGGATTCTTCTTTATCTGAAAGTACATCGCCAGCCATTCCAGCTGTTTTTACGAGTAAAGACGAGGCACTGAAGATGGTCAAGAAAGTAAAAGGTTCTCGTTTTAAAAGCTTTAAAAGTAAACAGGAGGCCGAATTGTTCTCCCGATCGCACTTTAAAGATCAAGAGATATCTTCAGGTGCAACGTATACTTCATCTGTTCCTAGAGATCCTGTGAGCATTTTCAAAACTCCAACACCGCAAGAAATAGTCAAATTTCGTGCTGTCATCGAACGAGGCTCGAGTGAAGAATTTCAAGAAAAAGTTATGACTAATCCCAGATATCTTATTGGACCAGGTGACACTCCAGTGATTTTACAAGAAGGATTCCGTTATAATGCTCTTCATGTAGCAGTGAAAAATAACAGAAAAGAGATGTGTCAGTCTATTGTTAAAACTTTAGAGAGTGAATCGTTCTTGGATGTGCTATTGAACCATGAGATAAAGACAGCCAAGAACAGCAAAAGGAGAGAATTTTTTGTGGACATGTACTTAAACACACCAGACAAAGGGGTACATAGCTGCAACACTTCCTTCAAAATTCCCAGGGGGTTTGGTGGTAATTACAGGGAAGCTGTTGAGGGGGGGAGGAAGAGGGATGGGGGGATGAGATGTCAGCCTTTCAACTTATGGGGTGCAAATTCTTTTCCCTAACAGGGTGGTAATCTTGGCATTTTACTCCACTACAGGTAGCCCTCAGGATTTTGTTCCATTTCCCTGACAGGTTTCTGAGACCATTTATTCCTGGTTAGAGAGAGGGTGCTTAACCCTTTAACTCCCATGAGTGACCATGACAGAATTTCTCCTTACAATATCAAAACTATATCAAGCACACAAGTTATGAGAATAAAGGAAAATATAATTTAGGGGATTATAAGATGATCCAATACCAAATTCTCCAAACTAACATTACAATAACTGTATAGGAGATAGTAAGGAGAATTACTAATGAGATCTTAGGAGGTGAAGGGTTAAAAATGAGGTATCCTGTGAAAGAGCTCCAAGGGAGGAGGGGTGCTTTTCATCAGAATTCTTATATGGGGGTGAGTCAATCTGCTCTCCAGATCAGAGTTGAGTCCACCCTTGTTTTCAGTCCTGGCTTGTGAAAGCCATAACCACTCTCAGACCTAGTTATTGATTTTAGTACTGAGAATTTAGCATTGGATCAAATGATAAACCCCTAATTGATATTTTTAAATATTGTCTTGATAATCTAAGGTGAAATTGTGTTGTGGACTGGGAAAGAGAGTGTTGACTGTTAGGCCAAGGTTTCCCCTACACAGTCTGTACCAAATAGCCATTTAAAGATTTCTTGACCATTCAATTTATCTTGTTTCACAGAACTTGGAAACACCATTACATTTTGCCAGCAAGTTTGGTTTTCCTGACATTGTTGAATATCTTGTTTCTCATCCTCTAACAAACATCCAACAAAAAAACAAATATGGTGAAACTCCAGCTGAGGTAAGATATTCAATGAGAATGACTTAGTAAGTAGGAATTTCCAAACACAAATGCCAGGGACTGCGCAGCAAGTTTTTGAGGGGGGGGGGGCTATTTTTGGCTCTGTCATTTTTGTTAAATTATTTTTTGTTTAATTTATTTTTGTTTTTGCAAAATAGTGGCGGGGGGGGGCCCAAAAGCCCCCACAGCCCCTCCCTCTGCGCAGTCCCTGAATGCTTATTGAGCTTATTGTAAAATTCTATTCACCTGATGAGTGTTTGGTTGAGATAAAACACCTCATTATGCTAGCTGTGAACTATTTTTTGACAAATATTTGACAATCCTCTTTAAAAATATGTGTGTTAACCCTTTCACTCCCAAGATCTCATTAGTGATTCTCCTTACTGTCTGCCACACAATTCCTATGGTGTAAGTTTGGAGAATTTGGTATTGGATCAACAAATAATCCATTTATTGATAATTTCTTCATTCTCATCTCTTGTCTGCTTTCTACTGTTTTGATTTCATAAGGAGAAATTCTCTCTTGGTCACTCACAAGAGTTAAAAGATTAATAGCTGACAAACAGACTGGTTATGATTATTGCTAACAAACATCATGCCTCCATAATTTTTTGACTAGAAAAACATTTGACATGAATATTTGCATACTAAGTTCCTCTCTACCTATTATTTGTCTTATTTCAAATTTTTTTATTATAGTTTAGGACTTTAGTACTTTTACATATGTAGATATTCACATAGTTTGATCAAATACTTTCAGGTGATTTGCTCAAGGTGTTCAAATGCAAGTCCTGATTTGAAAAATCAGATGAAAAGCTTCCTTGAAGGTATAAAAGTCAAAATTGTGCATAGTCATTCATTTTGTATTTGAAGTATTTTTGTCAGCTTTACCTGTTGTGATGTGTTTCTTATACAAACTGCTTGCCATCTTGATTTGTTAGACTTTGGATAAAGATAGGCCAACACAGTTGTGATACCCAGTGTTCTCCTTCTCAGGCAGTAACCGGTAACATTTACCGCCTGTAGTACCTCTTATTACAGTTTAAAATTGCTTGGAATTCTTGAAATTCAACAAGTAAAAGGATTGCTTTACTGGTCTGAAAATTTATTTTACCTGTCATGCTTAAAATAAGGGAGAACTCTGGATACCACTTGAAAATTACTTGCGAGATGTGTCTTACATTGATAAGAGGGCCTCACACTGACAATGTAGCTATATACTGTTCTCTAGGGAATTGGAAAGGGAATAACAGAGAGGGGGGACAGAATATACAAGGGGTTAGGGGGATAGATACCCCAAGGATTAAGTGCAAAGAGAAATTGGGATAAGACATCTAACAAGATGGATGAAGGGGAATAATGATACAAGGCCTAAATTTCTGCCCTCTGTTTCTCCTTATGTTATATCCCTGGGATAATTTCTTTCTGTGACTCCTATGTTTCTCCATTTACTCTCAACCACTATTTTCTATGTTAAGATTCTAATTTTTTCAATAGTTGATTTGTATGTGTCCTGTTTGCAGACAATTTCTATGTGCCATTGTTGGGTTCAATGGATAATTCAACTTCTTCCTGGATTGAGGAGCCTTGGTCACCAGAGATCACAGGTGATAAAGTGAACAATGAAGGGGCACAGCCAGGAAGCCCCCTTAAAAACTGGAAACACAGGAACAGCCCTGGAGAGTTACCAGTTACAGTGAGGGCATATGCTGGACCAATGTCCCCATCAAAGGTAGTTATTGGAACCTACAGCCCTTCATGAGTTGTGTATATAAAGTACAATGCAGAATGCAGGTGGCATGTCACTTAGGTACCTTGGATCCATATCAGTATCTGGGCAACTGCCCACCTACCCCTCCCCTAACTCAACAGCAGTCAAACGATAACAAGTTAGGGTTAATGTTGGGTTAGGGGAGGGGTAAGTGGGCAGTTGCCCAGATACTGATATTAATCTGGAGCCTTGAGTATGGCTTAGTTTGCTACTGAGTTCTTGGTATTTCATTTGCTGAAGCATTTGACCACAAAATGATACTGCCTTGGTTTTTATTATTTAGGGGTTCCTCAGCCCCTCAATGGGTGTGGTTTTTCGATCTGGTTTGGTATGAACAATGGGTCAAGATGTTGACTATGCATTTCTAGCTCAAAATGAATACTAGAGAAGTAGAACTAGCCAAAATATGTCATAAATTTTGGAAGAAATTGTACCAATTCTTGACCTTCGCACTGATGCTAAGCTTAGTTACTTTAGAAAACCCAGTGAACTCTTAGATGCCAAATCTAAAAACAGGTGTGGATTTTAGACGTCAGTTTTGAAAATCAGTGTGGAAAATGACATGGTTTGTCAGAAATAGGGTCAGGATTTGGAGAACCAGTTGACACACCCTGCCCAGAACCTCAACTCCCTCACGACTGTTATCTTCATGTGGAATGTTTGCCCCAGGCTCACCACAGATTACACTTGGGCATAACTGGGGGGGGAGCCTAGGGTGCCCATGACCCCCCTCCCCTCCATTAAGTATAAAATGGTGTGGTGGTCAAATGAAAATCTGTTAGTACCCTCTGTTTGACTCAGTGTGACTCCCTTTTGAGAAGTCTTGGCTACGCCCCTGAATTTATGTTAAAGCACTCTTCTGTACAATTTTTGCTCATTTTAGGCTGCAGAGTTCTACCGTACTTGGAAAACTCCACCAAAGAAGGAGAAGTGGAACAGCTACATTCAGATAAAGAGGAAAGATGACAGTCGTGGTGCAGAAAGAATTGGAAGGTAAACTGTTGGTTTGTTTTTGCTGTGAAAATAGACCAGTGAGCCTGTGCAGACTCTGACAGTCTGATATTTATTTTTGCTATATCAAGCAGATTTCAGTCATGTGTTATTAAATCCAAACCAAGGTTATCACAATAGCCATAGTCAAGAAATTTTCACTTGACTAGTAAAGAAATCAGAGGTTGCATCAGGTTTGGTGATTGGTTCAGAAAAATCACACCAGTTGCTTTCTCAACCAATCCGACCGTAAATTGAAATTAATCACAACTTGGTCACATGCAAGCAAACCCATGCAAACCTGGTTTGCTTCTAAGACTTCACAGAAAGTTACTCTCTTGTCAATAATTTTTATGTTATTGTCATGAATGGTTACTTTTTTAATTTCAAGAGCACTTGCTCATTGCGAGAGTGTACCTTGGACAGAATATTGGGCATTTCTTGGCTGTTATGCTGACTTGGCAAGTCCTCAGGGTCTGACAAAACTTGAAGATTATCTGGCCAACAGGAAGGAGAGGATTGTTTTAAGCAGATTATCTGTTACACCTCAGAGAGTCAGAACTGTTAAGAATGTATGCAGAGAGTTAAAAACTCCAGAGTCAAGACAAAGTAGTGTTCTTTTGTCTGACAGTGGTTTGGAACATCAAACAGCCTTTGCAAATGATGTTGACTGTTGTACTGAAAAGAACTTGTTGGATTGCTGTGACAGTTCTCCCTTGTTGTCCAGGAAAGAAATTTTCCCAGAGTCAGAGATGGAACCAGAAAAATTAAATTTTGAGCTGGAGGATGTTACAGTGGAAAGCAAACCAGACAATTCTAAAGAACAGCATATTGTGGAGAAATTTTCAAGTGGAAAGGATGGGAATGGTTCTATCTCGAGGTCGTCTCCACAAGAAATCATGAAAGATAAGCGTTATAAGCCAACAACGGAAATGTTGGGAAAAGACTTAGAAACACTTTGTCTTCATCAAGAAGAAGTTAAGACAAAGCTGCCTACATCCAATAGTTCATTTGCAGAAAATTCAGATAAAGATTTCTTAGACAGAAGCCATTCTACTCAGTTGAGTGACCAAAAAGATGAAAGAGACATTGCAGAGGACATTGTGTGCAAGAAAAAGCTGGTATACAGTCTACAAGAACAAGAAACTGGCAATTATGGTGAAGTCTTGAAGAGCAGAAATGCGGATGTTTCTGATACTGAGCAAACAGGCAAGAAAAGTCGAGTCATGCCAACAAAACACAAAATGGAAATTCCCAAGGATTTTAATTCAACTGATTTGGAGTCATCAGTAGTGAATGGGTCTCCAATTGAAGTGTTTGAGAACATAACGTGTGAAGATCAAAGATTAAGAAATGATGATTCTAGAGTGTCTAGTGTTCTGGAGCAGAACTGTTTTAAAGTGCCAGGGGGAAGAAATGTGGAGCATGCAAAGTCAGAGAGATCTGGCAATGTGGTTGGTTCAGGAAATAAGAGCCTCAGCATTTTCATCCAGGGGTAAGTGGGTTAGTAACCTGTTCCAGCTTTAACAGGTAGAGAGGAACCCTCTAAAAATGTGCCGTGCTCCCAATATGTGATTTGTAGCTCAGTTGGTAGTTGTGCCCAACTTGTATCAAGGAGGCACAGGTTCAAATCCTGATGAAGCCTTCATTTTTTTTAAGCTCCTTCTGTACAATTGATTAAATTGCAGCTCACCTGTGGGAAGCATTGCTTTATATGACTGTTCCAGATTGTTCATCCATAGAGATGAGGGAAATGGTGCACAAACGATTCTTGGCAGTTGTCAGGTGTAATAGCAGCCAGCAGAGTGACACTCCCATCAACATTTGCCTGCTTTCGTTTTGCTTGTCTCTAGTGAATAACTGAGAGCTTAGCACAGGCTTGTTGCTTAAGACAAGGACTAGTACTTATAACCAGCATGTCATAGAAGTCTATCCACAATTAAAACAAAAAACAATTTTATTCTTTAAATTATGGATCTTGTCATGAACACACAACCTTCCCCCCCCTCCCATAGCACTGACCTACAATATTTTGACTGCATGACATTGTTTTAGTTTGCAGCCAAGTAAACTTGACCTTGATGTGTTAATTGCCATTGGTCAGACCACAATTGATCCTGCAAAATATCCTCATATCAAAGAATGGAAGAAACTGGTTATGTCTTATTCTGAGGCAACACAAGAAAGGTAGCATTGTTTTTTCGTTTTCTTCTTGTCCAGCAAATTACTATTTCTTCCTTCATAGCCCCATACCTCCCTCTGACATTCCTCCATATCGATTCCATCTTCCTTTTCTTTTCCTTTCACCACCCTCAGTTGTTCCTCTCTGGTACCTGCTCTCACCCAGGCCTCATTCCTTCTCTCATCCCCACTTCCCACTCATCTTTTTTGCCTCCCCTACTTATCCTGATCCTTGTTGCATTGCTTCATTTTACTCTCTGCCCTGACCTTTCTAACTTACAACTTTAGTCCCTTTTCTATCATTCCTACCATCCACTCCTCCCCACCACTTTTCTCAACTCCCATTTCCTCCAGCATTCCTTTACGTCTCCCTCTGCAATATCTTCCTTCTTGCCCATCCATCTCTTTCCTTCTCTTACCCGCTGTTCCTCCATTTCCCACATTTTTCACCACCTGTGTTCAACTCTTACTCCCTGTCTCCAACCTGTTCCCTCCTTTGCTCTTTACCACAATCATCCCTTCCCACCCCTCCCCGCCTTCTAGCTTCTACTCTCACCCCTCACAGCTCCTTTTCTCTCCCCCAATCCCTCTCTTTTACATTACATCTCCTGTCACACCAACACGTCCTGCCCTCCTGGTATTTCACCATTTGCAGCACTGTACTGATGCGAGTCTCTTTTTTTCCAGCTGGCCAAGCCCAGGATCACCTAGATATCACACAAGACACAAATCTCTCATGTTGAGCTGCTAATAAAGCTGAATTTGAATCAATTTTAACTGATATAGGTCATTTGAAATTGTGGCTTTTCAACTGGTGTTTCATGGTTCAATTTACTTTGTGTTTACCATTCTGTTTGATGTAAATTGGCCCCTAACTTGGTGAACAGGGCATAAAATTTTCGTTCTTACCAAAATGATATATTTAATAAAAAAAATTGTTGGTTTTTTTCATATTATGGTTTTGTTAATGTTTACATAGGGATTGCAGTTCATAAACCCATGTTTTAAAACAGCAACTCTCATTTTGTGAATTATATCGCGCAGTATGTATTTACACCAGAACCCGTGATTGAGAAACTTGTGTACATGTAATCATAATAATGAATTTATAAGTAAAAATGAATAATCGATTTTTACGAGTTTTATAATCAGATACTAGGAGATTGATGGGCTTTTTTGCTTAGGGTTTAGTAGGATTGAGTACCCAGGGATATGAAACTTTGTTTATACCCTTCCTAAAGTCGTTTCCGTTTCGATGGTAGACGTGCAAGAACAAAACTTTTTATCCTCAGATACTCGACTTGGCCACAGTGTTACAGAGGTTCAAAGAAGTTCTTGCGTCATTTCAACCAATCAGATGCAAAACGGAAACGACATGCCACATGATAAGGCGTGTCCCGTGCTTAGGGCCGGTCACGTGAGTTTTCTACGGGTTTTCACTGGTTTTCTTACGGTATTTCTCTGTGATATTGTTGGCTGTTGTGTAACTTAGAGTTTCCTTTGATGAAACCCCAAAAACGCCTTATAAACCAGAAAACTGCGCCATAACAACTTTCCCTTGCCGCCCAACCGTTATATTAAGAAAGCGATCAATTCGTTGACCTTGGATATGTCTCTCTGTCTTGTTTCTCAACCTGCTGCAGTGATGATGAACAATATGCAGGATTTTACAGGGATTTTTGACTCTAAAGCCTCCATATTTTCTGAAGTTGAAAATCAAAACTCGCTCAATGCCTGCAATGTTTGGACGATAGTCGATCTTTTCCAATAACCGTGGGGAAACTGGTGCAAGAAGTCTGAACAGAAATCCATCGTGAGATCCAATATATTTGGACATTGGTCCACAAAAATCTCTCGCATTGCAGAGACGTATATTTTCCGCACTTTCATGCCTGGTAAGGGCGTACATTGTTTTCCTACTCAAGATACTTTCGTCCAGTCTTTCAAATCCTCTATGTACATAACAATCAGCGTTCAAAACCATTGCGTTTTTTCGTATCAAATGCTTCGAAGCAAATTCAAGGGCATCTTTATAGCGCATGCGTCGACCTAAAATGTTGAATTCCAGCTTCCAATCTTGTTCCAAATTCTGCGCTATTATGAAAAAAGGATCTTGGTCTCTTTCACAGAGGATATGAACTGCTTCAACCTAGAGGAAATAAAAACTAACTTTTATTAGGTTTTACGAGCAAAAGGTCTCTGAAAGGTGTATTCATCAAAACGTTTACCTAGTTATTGATGATCTTTGTCTGGAAGTAAAATTACATCTGCTACTACACTAAAATATTTTTAAGTTGATAACCAGAAATAAGTTCAAAACAACATTCACTGTCTTGGTTCGTTTGAGAAATGGGCGGACAATCAGATCTGCCTCTGCGCCAAGCCATTTAAAACTAAAAAAGAGAAATATGTTTAAAAAAGCTGTCACTGTCCCGTTTCGTTAGGGGAAATAGGTGCAATCTTTTTACCCGATGATTTTTCAGTTGGATGTTTGCAAAACTGAGAACCATTTTGCTCGCATCGCTACCAGAGGTCAATGATTGAATCGGAGAAAATGGAAATATCGCATTTCGAACTTATAAAGATCGTTTTAGAGAAAGATTAATTTTCGAGGCTTTCTTAGACAAAGTTGTACCCTGCGCGTGTTTAAGTCATAATTCCTAAATAAGCGCTACATTCCTTGATGTGGCTTTCATCAATATTTTTGCTCTCACAAGCGGCGGTGGTTTGCGGTGGGCTTAATCGAGTAAACACGTCAGCTGCTACGGGGACAGAAGTTCCATTAGTAAGGCAGTGGGTGGAGGGATTGAGATACAGAAGAATTATATTTACTCCTAAGTCTCAGCCCCGCGAGTCCTATGAAATTGTTTTAAGATTTAATGACCAGTCTAATGTTTTGACTCACATGTGGACTCAGAAGATTTTGTTGTAGACTGTAAATGTACTCGGCTTGTCGTTGTATCACGTGATCTTCTACGCTACCGGAAGTGTTCAAAACTGGAAACTGGATGATAAGGTGTAATCGAGCGCTCCATGATGGTAGCTGCCTCTTCGATTTGTTTGGAGCTTGTGCGTTGTATATTACTTGTTTGATTGAGTTCTTATTGCTGCCTGTAAAAATCCATTTAAAAACCAGTTTTAGATTATGCACGATTGATACTTGATGGTCAGAGCCTACCGTGTTACTGAAATGTACAACGGCTTAGGCGTGGAAGGTCTGGGTACGAGACTATTTAGTACAACTAAGCAGGCTGCCTTAACTAAGCAGATTAATGCAGGGCTGGGGTAGGTTCCTAAAGAAACTGAGGTGCTGCGTTGGTGGGGGAGTATAACAAGATAATGTGGCTTTATCGTCGTAATTGATAATGTGAATTGGCCACCGTAAAGAGTTTCAAAGCTGACGTTTCGAGCTTTAGCCCTTCGTCAGAGCGAACCACTAAATAATCAAAAACAGGGCCTAGAAATTGATTAATACCAAACAAAAACGACATTGCAAATATACTAAGTTGAGATAAAATTTTTTGGCTAGTCAATATTTCATCGTTTTAGAAGTAAAGATGAAGTTTTCCGCGCTTTTTTAGATACAGGTTAAAGAAATCCACCAGTCGGACACGATGAACCAAAACATAAAAATGCTCTAGGTTCCGAACATGCTAGGTCGTAAATAAAGTTGGTAACTTTTTCTACGACCTAGCATGTTTACATTCCAAAGATATCCTCCTGGATGCCTGGAAAAAACAACTTTTTAGTCTTGCCCGTTCATGATTAGCAAATCTTACCTTCAGGTGTACGCATAGAAACATCATATTCATCATTCAGTGAAACTTTTGTCCTTGGAGTTGAACGCCTCAGCCAGCTTATAAGCGACAAAAGGACTGTTAACCCCAGTAGAAGAGATACACGATGTCTAGCTTTTCCACTCGGCGATGATCTGCGCTGAATTTAATTTAGTAATAGGGGTTAAATTATGCTAAAGCGCATGTCAAAAGTGAGTGAGCCAGAATATCGCGAGTTACAGGTGTTATTTCGCAAGACTTTAGATGGAACGAATGGCTTTCGTCGCATTGAATTCCTGCTCAGTTTGACTTTGTGAGCCTCGAACAGATACTACAAAGAGGCTTCCATTTATCACCTGGGTTAAGCTCAATATCCCCTCCAGGTAATAGCAACATCTACAGATGCATATGGCCGTTAACGCGAAAGCAAGAGCTTCTGCCTGTGTTTTTCGATCGAAAGAACTGTTGAAGGATTATATTAAATGACTCCCACAGACAATCAAAACTGATCGATTCCTCAGATGGTATTTCCGCAGTACAGTGTGGGTTCTAATCGTAAATCCAGTTAAATGACAAAATTTCCAGCGGGGGTTGATGAAATATGTTGTATGTTGTCACAAACAAGTTATTCATTTAGACGTAATCAACTGGTTTAGTGGACTATTTTTATAAAATAACCATTCGAAACTATACACTTAACAAACCTGTGTAACACAATGCATTCTACCACAACACTCGTTCACTATTCAGTCGTCGATTTGAATCCATGACTGAAAAAAGAAAACTCCTTGAAAAAGCAAAATGATGATAGAATTCTTCGAAATCACGTAGTTTCAAGCGGTCGGTCAAGATTTTACGCTTTTACGCGCGAGGTGGTTCTAGCAGGTTGTTCATTGGATGTGTGTTTTTGTGACGCTCGACCGGTTGTAGCCACGGGTTAGTGATACATCTCTGAGCGGGTAGCTTGGTTTATATCGTTATTCGAGTTTGCGACGACAGATTCTCATGGCCTGACTCCATCATCTCAGTCAGAGAAAAGCCAGCTGGAATCAATAATGAAGCCATCCCGTATTGGAGGTTGTTCTATTGGCGCGCAGAGTGTAAAAATGGGGGTGTGTATGAAAAAATAAATTAAGTCAAAACAATCGAACTTGCTAGTTTTCAAGCCATAAATGTTATAAATGAAGACGTAAAGAGTAAACAATTAGGTGAACTGAGATGGTCTTGTCTCAGTTTAGATGTTGTGCCGTTTGTGCCTTTATATTCTTTCCGATCATGGACAGAAATTGCGAAACCTTACAGAACTATCCGCAATTTGACGGAATCGCGTTCAAAATTGAACGGCATCCTTTAAAATTTGATAGAACAGTTCAAATATTTGACAAAAACCGTTCCAACCACAGATTCTGAACAGATTCTATAGTATAGCAATGGATCACCAAGGGCCTAGTTAAGGAGGTCCTGGAGTGCCCATAAACCCCCCCCCCCTCCCCTTTGTAAGCCTTTTTTGTCACATTATGTAAAATACGACTTGGAGGTCGATATGACAATCTGGTGAGTATGAGTACCCTACGTTTGACACCATGTGACTACCCACCCACCCCCCTTTGAAAAATCCTGGCTACGCCCCTGATCACAGATGATGTAAAATGGTCAATACGAGCAAAAAACGTGGCATACGAGGCGCAGCCGAGTGTGTCACTAATTTTCTTAGCACATTCTGAGGTCTTCTGTGATCTTTTATTGAACAGACCCGCGGCATGATGACGAAACAAACTGTTATCAACGCTGACGTCATCTATACGTCTGTCTTACTACAGGTCATATGAAACATTTTTTCTCGAAATCGAGAGAGTTACGGGGCTTTTTATTGACAGGAACAAAACCTTACATTCTCCACTGATCCTGGAAAAATCAGCCTCTGCTGTCCCTATGAATGATGTTATATTTCACAAGTTATATATCTGTAATCTACGGGCGAAATTCACTCGCATAAATTGAATTTTAAAATTCCAATTATTTATTCCAGAAAGTGAAAATATTTATATATATATATTTATTTTCAGGAAGCACATCAAGAAAACCGTTTTGAACGTATCGATTCTTTCTTAGGTGCGTTCCATTTTCCTGTTGTATACTGCAAAAACAAAAGCTTTGGAAAATGGAATATATTCTACTTTAAATTGCTTGTCGATCTCTCTTCAAAAATATAGTTCCTGGCTATTCTTTCAAGATCTGCCGAAAATGAAGGCTCTTTTCTGAAGCCTCGTGCGAATTAACGTTGCGTTGAACTTAATTCTA